AAGCCCAAGTTAAAGACTAACCAAAGCATCACAAAAAGGCTGTCTCAAACACTACAAAGTCATTCCTTACCGGATTTACAACTGTCTACCAAGTCATCTTCCAGGATAACCTTCATAGATCGTGGAATACTTCCAACAGATAGCCTCTGGACCTAGCCAAAGAAAACACAGAAAGACAACACATGAGTGTGCTTAACCAGGTGCTCCGTATCCAAACTGCAGCAGCACTACTTGAAATGGCTTCCATTTCTCTGGTAGTAACATATGATTTGATTCTGATAGAACTTAAGGCATTTTTCTGGAAAATTATGACTAATACCAGTTTAAGAATTCACTAACACTAGCTGGGCATGGTGGCGTGCTCCTTTAATTCCAGCATCTGGAAGACGCGGCAGGCAGATCTCTTTGAGTTCAAGGCAAGCCTGTCTACAGAGTGAGTTTCAGGACAGCTAGGGCTACACAGTGAGACCCTGTCTTGGAAACAAACCAACCAACCAAAAAAGAATTCACTAACACTAGGGGCTGGAGGGATGTCTCAACAGATACCAGCTCTTCCTGCACTTCCACACGACCAGTGTCACAGTCACCTGCCACTCCAGCTCCATTGGATCCACCACCCTCAGGCCTCTGTGGGCACCCACACACAGAGATCCATCCACATACACAAAAATAAAACTTAAAAAATAAGATTTCACTAGAGTAAAGCTAAAACACCAAATATGGAAAAACCTCTCTAGCGATAACCTACAGTCAGTCAAAATAAATATTCAAGCCAACTTAAAATGAGTGACAAAATTACTTATTTAGCATTAGAGAGATATTTCTTTCATAATTTCTAGCCTGAACACCTGGAAAATCAACCAGTTCCTTGATTGCTCCTTAGTAACAGAACCCTGGCTTTATTCCACGTAGACATGACTTGTAAATGGCTGTTTCCCAAGCTCTCTTGTACCTGGGTGTGGTCATAAGACTAAGTCCTGGCCAATGAAATACAGGCAATCACAGGCTGACAAGACTTGATTAGATGGTATGGTATCTGATCATCCTTTTTCAGTTTTCTGGCTAGAACACTGAGATATGTGTCGTGAAATTGTAGCCACCATCCTAGACCATAAAGCACCACAGGAATAGAAGCCATGTATCAAGATTGGTGGGAAAAGCTAGGCATGGTGGCACATTCCTGTAATCTCAATCTGAGCACTTGGTAAACTGAGGCAGGAGGATTATCATGAGTTTGAGGCCAGCCTGTGGCGGTGTGGTATGAAGTGAAAGAAAAGAAACTGACCTTTGCTATCATTTCCCCAAGATGGGTCTGGTTTGCTCTGAAGCATTCTCATGTCTACTGAACAAAGGCTATCCTCTCTATTTATTGAACAGCACAGCAAACATGGTCTCCAAAAGGAATGAGGCACTCTTGTCTTCACCTTTTATGGGAATCTCATGAGGGAGGAAACTGTTCTGGCCCGGTTGTCTCAGAACAGCACACAAAGCCACAGTCAGATACTATCAATTTATGGCCACATGCTACTTTCAACATTCTTTGTGGGGGTGGCACAGCTTTCAATGCCTCACTATTTGCAGTGACTGGTCTTGGATCTCGTCACCACACACATTGTTCCGAGTCAGAGGCATGAATGGGTCAGGAGGGAGAAGCAGGGAGCAGGTACATTGGGAGTCCACAATATAGTAAGGTTGACAACACTGTTTCTTAAAGGTCGGTTCACTGTAAACAGACTGAACATACAGTGTATAAGCAGAATGAGTAGAGAATGGTCACAGGATGGGCAGAAGTTTGATTTGTAAGGGCCAGCTTCAAACAGCATTTCTCAGAATTTATTCCCACACATGGTGAGTTCCAGGTCAGCACGGGCTACCGAGTGAGACCTATCGAAATGGAACAATGGAGGCTAAGAAAAGTGAAGTGTAAGGACTCCATACTGACGAGCCTACATGCTGGCCTTGAGCTGCCTATCTCCGTATTTACATGGGAAAACAAACCTCTGTATTCAAGGAAGGGAAAATTAAGTTCCCCTTTATTTGTTAAACAGTGACCATACATGCTTTCTTAAAATTGAACCAAACCCCAAACTCTGCGCTTACCGATGCTTGGCAACCAGTTAAACTGACTGAAATGTCTCATATTTTTTAAGGACAGCTAGTTTAGAATACTAGATATAAACTTTTTTTTTTTTTTTGGAGCTGAGGACCAAACCCAGGGCCTTGCGTTTGCTAGGCAAGCGCTCTACCACTGAGCTAAATCCCCAACCCCGATATAAACTTTTTGTTCATTTATTTTATTTACTTTTACTTTGCGTGTATGGGTGTTTTGCAATGCCTACAGAGGCCAGAAGAGGGTGTGGGATCATCTGGAAGTGGAGATGCACACAGCCACTATGTGGGTGCTGCTAACAGAACCCAGGTCCTCTCTGCAAGAGCAGCAACCAGTGTTCTCAACCACAGAGCCATCTCTCTAGCCCCAATATTTACTTTTAAATTTTAACATTATTAAGTGGTTCTAAAATCTCATCCGTGCTCTGAAACAATGATCATTTCATGGTTTCTAAAACATACATTCTAATACATGTTGGACAATTTCAACTTTGATGTTCCCCAAAGTGAAGGCGCAGGGTAATCTGTTTCCATCCTGTATTCTCCAATCACAGCCATTTGACTCTGGTAGAAAATAACACCTCCACCTTGTTACTTTTTCTCATTGATCATTTACCTGCTCCTGAATTTTGATTTCCTGGTAATCCCGACATCTGGCTGGAGATGAAGACAGGTCTGAGAGACAAGTGAACTTTGAGGAATCGCAGCTCTCTGAGCTTGGACATGAAGATGGGCGACAGAAAGTGTAATACTGCTCGAAGTCCGCCTGCACCACAAACACATGCTTGCATTTGTTACACATGTAATCCCGCTCATACTCCAAGACCTTCACCAGACTTGTTCGAATCACTGTCCCAGTGACGGATAAAAAGTGTCCCACATCCTTGGTTTTAGGGATGTGTTCCCTTACCAGTTCAGGACAAACAGGTAAACCTAATGGAAAAAGAACATCATCAACTTAGACTTTGATAACTGACTCTGCAGAATGCTATGTCTTTCCCAGAAAATATTAAAATAACATAATTTCAGGGGAAAATATTTATGTCTTTTTTTTTTTTTTTTGGTTTTTTTGAGACACAGGGTTTCTCTGTGTAGCTTTGCGCCTTTCCTGGAACTCACTCTATAGCCCAGGCTGGCCTCGAACTCACAAAGATCCGCCTGGCTCTGCCTCCCGAGTGCTGGGATTAAAGGCATGCACCACCACTGCCCAGCCTTATGTCTTATTTTTACTATGTGTGGGTGTGTAGGTACACATGTGTGGAAACCAGCTGTTCATGTTCAGTGTATGCCTGAATTATTTCTCCACATCGGATTCTGTGACTGTGTCTCTCACTGAACTTGGAATTCACCAGTTCCGTGAGAATGGCTGGCCAGCAGGCCCCAGTGACTCTCCTGCCTCTGCCTCTGGGATTACAGGTGCTCATCACCACGCCTGGCATTACACGTGAATGCTAAGGATCCAAACTCAGGTCTTCAGGGTTGTATGGCAAACCCTTGACCATGTTTGTGTCTGACTTTAGAAGATCAGACTATCAACCCAATTAAGAATTTCAGACAACAGAAATCAATGGGCTCTTTTGAAAGCACATCTCTAGAAGCTACAAGCAGAACTAAGAAAGAACTGGGCTCTCACAAGAGAGCTCTCAGTAGCCTCTAAATATACAACTAACCACACTTAGTGGACAAAATGCTGTCACCTGTAGCACATGTATTTAGTCGTCACTAAATAAATCAAAAGCATCTATGCAACAACCATGTACTGAGTTCCTAATAGCCGAGCAACACAATGCTCATCATCAGATATAAAAAGTTTTATAAAAGAGTTCTGGAGATCACTGGGCAGGATCTTTTCTAATTCACACATTACCAATTTTTATTGTTAGTCGTCACAAAAGCTCCTCAATCTGCTTTAGATAACTTTATACACACAAAGAAATACACAGACACAGTGCACTGACGTCTCCATAGTCTCTCCCTCCCTGTTGTTGGTAGGGCAAGTGTCTCATGCACAGAAGACAATCATCGTTATGTGCCACATAGAAGAGATGTACTTTAAAAAAACATCAGTTATGGGGGCTGGAGAGATGGCTCAGAGGTTAAGAGCACTGGCTGTTCTTCCAGAGGTCCTGAGTAAAATTCCCAGCAACCACATGGTGGCTCACAACCATCTGTAATGAGATCTGGTGCCCTCTTCTGGCTTGCAGGCAGACACGCAGGCAGAACATTGTATACATTATAAAGAAATAAATCTTTAAAAAAAAATCAGTTAGTTTTAAAATTCTTTTTAGATTTATCATTTATTGTGTATGTGTGTGTACATGTGTGTGCACACATGCCAGTGTGTATGTGGATGTAAGAGGACAAACCTGGGGACTCAGTTCTCTCCTATCACATGAGTGTCAGGGATCAAACTCAGGGTGTCAACCTTGGCAGCAAGCACATTTACCTGCTCAGCCATCTTGCTTGCCCCCAAATAACAATGATTTCTTAATGTTCTGAGTCTCATATGTGTTCCATTTTATTCACATCTTCCCCAAATATTACATGCCAACAACATCCTCTCATGATTTACCTGATATCCTGGCGTGAAGATTCTGCTTCAGAGAAAACCCCTCAGGCTCAGGAAGGGACTGCAGAATTGTCAAGGCTGACCTTCGAAGTGCATTGTCAAAAACTGTTAGGACTTCGTTGGGGAACACCGTGAAATACTCTCCAATTTCCATGTTGGTCTCGAAAAGGGTCATAGCATTAACCACAACTGGGTAGTGTGCATCCTCATCTCCTTCCTTCAGGATCAGAAGAATATCGTTCTTATGGTACTCTGAAACATAGGACTCGAACACTTGACCCACCAGTGTGACCTGGTCACTATTCATCTTGAATCTAGGTTACAAGAGGGAAGGGAAGGATGGTATTATACCTTTGCTATTCAAGCTTTGCACACAATTTAACAAAAAGACCCTTGGCTTATAAACCATCCCAGCTTTTGGTTACACGGCACTCACAAAATAGTATCTGAATCATATCTTATCTGTGGATGACTCATCCATTACAGTTATGTAAAACATGTGCTCCAAAAATCAGTGACATTGGGGCTAGAGAGGAGGCTCGGCAGGGGGAAGTGCTCTCAGCAGAAGTCTTATGACCCCGGTTTGGACGGCTGGAACCTACTCAACGGGCGGGATGCAGTAGCACACATATCACACATGTAATTCCAGCACTACGACTGTGAGATGGGTGGTCAAGATGGGAATATTGCCCAGGAGCTCAAGGGCCAACTACGCTAGACTGTACAGTGCAACTGCAGAAACAAGAGAGACCCTGCCTCAAGGTGGAAAGCAAGAACCAGCTCCCCGAAGTTGTCCTCTGACCTCCACATGCATGCTACAGCACACAGGCACCCCCCCCCTCACACATACATACAAATAAAAAGAACAGTGAAGTTCTGATGCAGCCTCCATCATCCAGTAATTTGGTAAAATGACAACTATAAGAGCAGAGGCTCTGCTCTATGTTCTCTGAGCCCTTTAGAAAACATGGAGGTGTTCTGCTGGCCACATACATGCAAATCTACAAGACAGGTTGCAGACATCAAAGGGACTGGGTACTGCTCAAAAGAATGCTCCATAAATGTCACCATGGCAAAACTGGAAGAGTCTACCGTTTTAGCATGCTGATGGCATTGTGTTAAAAAGTTAAAGGTAAGGTTCTTTCCAGCATTACCGTGCCCTCTGAGCATCCTGAGCACTGTAAGAGTCAGGACAGATTCCGGAAATAGTGAAGGAAAATGACTGTTTTGGGGCGGGGCGATGAGAGAGGCACCTGGGTTCACCTGGAGCACCAGCCTGCTGCACCCCGAGAAGCACACTGTGTGAGGCCATGGGAAGGAGGAGCCTGTGCTGCTGAAACCCGGTCCCTGAGAAGTCATGGCTTCATGCTCAAAAGGAAATTTCGGACCTAGACTGTCCACATGCTTTCTTAACAAAAAGTAGTAAAGTTAATTTAATTCATAGAACTGGCTGATCAGAGAAGTATTAATGGCACAAAGTAGTTCTCATATATTTTCCCTAAATCTTTCTCCTCTTCAGCCTTTTATTAACACATTACAATGTACATACCATATGTAGAAAGTTCTGGGCCTCCCTTCCCTCCTCACTGCCTTTATTGGTTTCTTGAGGAGCTCTCTGTCTGCTGGGAGGGAACTTATTATGTAACTCAGGCTGGCTTTGAATTTGCATCAATCCTCCTGTCTCAGTCTTTCAAATGCTAGGATTACGAGCATCCACATCTCTCTCTCTCTCTCTCTCTCTCTCTCTCTCTCTCTCTCTCTCTCTCTCTCTCTCTCTCACACACACACACACACACACACACACACACACTGCTGCATAAACAAAGCATACTATTAATCAAATTGACAGTTCTAACAGGACTAGTGGTTTGCTTTAGGGTTGTACACCAGAGGTAAATTTGTTTCCCGCTTTCTCTTATGGGCGTCAATAAAAGCAGTCATTAAAGATGGAGAAAAGCTAGACAAACTGACAAATGGAAAGGAGTATTAATTTTTAGACAATAACTAAGACTGAAAAGAAATATATACTGGGCTTCACCTAATCTCTCTCAAACATGTGTTTACAAACATAAGGAGGCTACCTCATTTCCACATACATAACTGTATCACAGATTTAGGATTCCAAACCCACTGCAGCATCAATTTCCTAATATCTACCATGCACAAGTCACTATCCTCACAAGGGAAAGCAGCACAGTAAAAGATACCATGCCCCCAGAGACCCGAGTGACAGATGTAAACAAAACCGCTCTACACAATATGAGTGAGAGCAAAAAAGGGAGGGGGGGGGGGATTCTGGATAGATGGCTCAGTGGTTAAGAGCACTTGCTGCTCTTCTATAGGACCTGGATTTGGAGCCTATCACCAATATAGGGAGGGATCCCAGCAGCCTGGAACTCCAGTTCCAGGGGATCTGATGGTGCCTACACACATGTGGCACATAACATTCAGGCACACACATAGTCATAAAAGAGAGAAAGAAGGAACAGAGGGGAGGGATTTAATTTAAATGAGGCAACAAGTCCCAGGGGAGAAACTGTTAACTGCACTCATTCTGTGAATGAGTCTTAGTTTGGAAAAAGAGCAAGTACCTCAGTAAAGGTGTGTTTTAGCGTCCCCTAGCTGGATCACACTGGCTACTTATTAGAGAGAGGTATCCCGCCTTCTCCCTTTTGTGAACATTTGCTTAGCTGGAATGTGTGAAAGGTATAATGTTACATCACAGTTAAGCCAAGAATACTGGCAATTACAGGAAGCTAATAAGAGATAAATTATTTTTTTCAGAGAATCAGAGAAAGTAAGTCAACACTAAAACACTAAGCAATTTGTTTTTGTTTAGGTAATAGCATATTCAACCAAGAGTAAAATAGAAAACATTTGGAAAGGGATCACATAGTAGTTCACAATGTGGTCTTTGCTGAAAAAACAAAAACAAAAAAACAGCACTACTCTTAAGAGTGACTAAATGACAATCTTTAAGATTTTACAAATACAAAGTAAATGTAGAGCAGCAAATTAAGCAATCTAGAAAAACAGCTTCAACGGCGCATAAAGAGGGCAGCTGAAGAATTTTAAGTTCATATTAAGAGCAGGTTAATATTTTGCCTGGTTAGACCGGCAAATTACACTGTTAAGTGTGCCAGTTGTTTTAAACACAGCTTTTTTTTTTTTTTTCTTCAACATCCGTGCAATCAGGTAGGTTTGCCAACCCATAAACACAGGCATCCTCATACAGATTTAAGCCATTTATTGCCTGGGGCACGACGGCCTTACAACTATCCAGTTGCCTCTCCTTTTGTCTTGCTGAGTATCCGGCGTCCAAACAAATAAAACGGCTTTATTTTATTTCATACTGTGGAAGGCAAGGCGGCGCCAGAAAGAGCAGTTTGGGAAAAGCCTAGCGCGGGTCCGGGAGGCTGGCGCAGCCCCGCCCCTCGGGTGCTGGGGCCACGCCCTGCCGGGGCGCGCGTCTCAGCCCCGCGTGGCGCTCCACTCGCGGGGGCGCGCTCATTGCGCGCCTCCCGGCCGCGGGCTTCGCCGCCGGGCAAGCGATCCCCGCCGAGCGGAGGGCATGCTTTCCAAATGGCTTCGCAGCCACAGGTGCCTAGCTGGGGCCTCCCAGCTCCGCGGGGAGTCTGGAAATGAAAAGATGCGGGTGGAGGGAAACAATCCCCGGGACGCGCGGCTGCGCGGCGCTCACTTACTGGCTGACACGCACTGTCTGGTCGCCGGGGACGCGCTGCTTCCCGCCGGGGCTCACCCCGGCTCGCGCGGCGTGGGAGGGGGCGGGGCGTGCGCGCGGCCGCTCGCTCGAGGCGGGGGGTGGGTGGGGGGAGCTCGCCTTACGCGGGGGCGCGCAGGCTTCGTCCCCGCGGCTTTCGCCGGGCCTCGGCAGAGCCCGTGCTTCCCGCCGACCCCGAGCGGCGCACCGTCTCAACTTTCCGGCCGCTGCGGCTCTTCCGGGTGCGGACGCAGGCGGACGGGCGCGCGCGCGCCCCTATCAGCGCGGGAGGCCGCGAGCGGGAGGCGGGGGAATCCGGCGAGGGGGCGGGGTTACGGGGACTGGGGCGGGGTTTGAGTGGGACAAGGGGGGTTGAGGGCGGGGTTAGGGCGTGTAGGAATTCCCCCGCTGGGTGATGGGGAACGTCGGGTGGGGCGGGGCTGGGGGCGGGCAATCTGGGACTAAGGTTAAGTTAGCATCATTAAACTCTGTGTGTGTGTGTGTGTGTGTGTCTGTGTGTCTTTTTATGTTTTCTGGTAAAGGTGGAATTTTTCGTTCAGTATAGCGAGCGAAATTTTATAGGTGGTGTACGATTATGCATTAGCTTTTGTTTCAGAGCTTTCCGGCACCCAGAAAAGCCTTGTGCGCGTTGACGTAAAATAAAAAAAAAACAAATCAGTTCTTAAAAATCTGTATGGGGTTATTATTAAACTTCATATTCTGTTCCAGGAATGTGTTTATCATCTGCCTTTACAAAAATACCCACTGTCTGGGTTTTCATGTCAAAGACTGAATGCTTTCCATGTGAAATCAAAACCAATAAGATGTTTTTCCTCCTCACGTGTAGTCAGTGTGGCACTGGATCAAGAAGGCAAGAAAATGTGTCCAAAAGAGAAGGAAGTAAACCGACTGTATTCAGAGACACTAAAACTATGTAGAAAACAGTAAAATCCTACTAAAACACATAAGTGGTGTTTACTGAATCTAAGATCAATGCTTAAAAATCAGTTGTATTCCAATATATTAAGAAACACCAGGAAAGTGAAAATTTAAAATAATTTACATAAGGATAAAAAATTACAGTTTTTTTTCCATATCCTTTGTTTTGGAGAAAAGTGAGACAAACAAACCTGGAAAAATAGAAATAAAAAAACTATTTAGGGGATGGAGAACTGGCTCTGAGATTCCGCAGGAATCTTGAGACAATAGCTGAACTTTTAGTTCCTGTTATATTAAATCAGTAGGTCTATGGTAAGAACCTACTTCGTAACTTGTGCTTCGTATGACCCTTAAAATAAGGTTCATGTTGATTTAGGTGATGGTTCAGTAGTGTTTGTTTTAGATTTAAGTTTTATTTTATGTGTTTGGGTGTTTTGCCTACATGTATGAATGGGCAGCACATACGTGTCTAGAGCCAGAGGAAGTTAAAAGAGGGTGTCAGATTGTCTGGAGCTGGAGGCACTCTGGGGATGCTGGGAACTGAACTCTGGTCCTCTTGAAGAGCAACAAGTGTGGTGATATTTATTTGTGCTGAAATGTGATGATATTTTATGTGTATGTTAATAAATAAAGCATGCCTGGAGATCAAGGTGGAAAAGGCCAGCCATTTTTAAGTAAACATAGAAGTCAGGCAGTGGTAGCACACGCCCTTAATCCGATCATATGGCAGGCAGGGTCTCTGTGTGTTCAAGGACACACTAGGGAACAGCCAAGCGTGGTGACACACACCTTTAATCCCAGTACCAACCATAGAGACCTGGAGGTCGGTACAAACAGGCACTGACGAGGAAGTGAGGTATCTGGGCTAAGAGCCAATAAGAGGATAGAACAGCAAGGCAATAAAGGCACAGGTAGACAGGAAGTAACTCACCTTTTGATAGCTGCAGAGCTGGAGAGGTAAGGTTGGTGGCTATCACTATTTCCCTGATCACTAAGATGTTCACCCCGATATTTGCTCCGTGTTTCTTATTTAATAAGACTGTTTAGAAATTCGGCTACAAACAAGTGCTCTTCATCTTTGAGCCAATTCTCCAGCAAGTCCATGTCTCCAAATTCTGAGCGGATGAGTTTAAGAAATATTTAATTTGCAGTTTATGGAGTTTTTTCTTGAAAGGGAGGAAGATGGAGGCAGGGCTTTGATGGGGCCCATTAAGGGATGGCTACTTTCTCCCAGTACAACATGGCTATTTTTTATTTTAAAAATTACTTTTATCTATCTTGTTAAATATGTTATGGTTTGAAGAAAAGAAAAGAAAAAGATCTGACTTGTACTCATGAGTCTCTGGCCCTGGGTATAGACATGACATTCTGAATGCCAGTAAGATCACAACATTACATCCGGAGGATTTCTGGAAAATAAAAGACATATCATTGTCCTCACGTGTAAGTGTTCATCCAGATTGGCAGGCTTGATGGCCTATGCCTGTAACCCAGCACTTGGGAAGGATGGCAGGAAGAATAAGAGCTCAAGGTTATCCTCAGCTCCATAGGCAGTTCAAGGTCAGTCTGGGCTACTTGAGACACAATCTCAAAAACAAGCTAATCCAAGTTAGTCTGTCAATTACCTGAATAGAAAAACACTCTTCAGGAAAGTTGTCTGTTCTAGAGATTTTAGAAAATAGTATTTACCCGACCTAACATGGAGGTCAGCATAGTAGTTTGTTTGACCATTGCCCACTCTCATTTCAGGAGTGTTTTTTCTTCTGTAGTATCCCTGTAGCCACTGGCCACTCTCATACCTTGAGGGTGTAATGAACTCTCTTGTTTACATTATGCTCTGTGTCCTACTCACTCTTGGTTCTTTCTTTAATTTATAATCTACATTCATTCTTCTCACTCTTTGTACATGTTTTATTTTTCTTGGGCATGAGACAATGAAATCAGATGCCACTGTCTTGGGCTAGCTCAGGTGACCTTGATCATCCTGAGTCCTAGCTCCCTGAGGTAAAGCTAAGAAAATCAAGGAAGGTTCCACTGTACTCCAAGAACCCACATCACAAGTATCTGTGTCAGGCTTGATGGCACTAGACTTTAATCCTTGGAGAGCCAGAGGCAGGCACAGGTAGATCTTCGTGAGGTCAGGGCTAGCCTGGTCTACAGAGTTCATTCCAGGCCAGCTAGGGTATATAGTGAGACTGTCTTAAAACAAATAAAAACATATAACCAAAAGTACCTGGAAAGAATCCACACCTTACAGCGAGCCTACTAAAAGCTGGATTAACTGATTAGAACTTCTGTGATTGTGGAGATTGAAATGGGACAGTTGTCTCACTATACAGCCCTGGCTGGTCCTATGTAGAGCAGGCTGGCCTCCAATGCAGAGATCCGAAGTGTTGAGATTGAAGGCATGTGCTAGCACATCCAGTATAAACTACCTTTTAAGACAAATTATAGTAGAGCTTTTTTACATACTCGTTTTACATTGTAACTTTGACCCTAAATAATATTAATCATAAATACTAGCTTGCTGGGTGGTGGTGGTGCACGCCTTTAATCCTAGCACTCTGGAGGTAGAGCCAGGCAGATCTCTGAGAGTTCAAAACCAGCCTGGTCTGCAGAGTGAGATCCAGGACAGGCACCAAAACTACACAGAGAAAACCTGTCTAGAAAAAAATGAAAAATAAATAAATAAATAAATACTGGCTGTATTGAAGGTTTATATCTCATCTATCAAATAAAAAAAGAAAAAAGCTATAAACCAGCAAGAATACATATACTTGAAAGTACACAATTTACATAAATTCTTTTATTCTGGATTTATAAATGTTGACAATTGAGTTAAAATTATACACAACAATGAAAGGTATTAATAGAATATATTTCCCTATATTGAATTTTTAAGACTACTGAAGTAACAATTAATGATCATTACTGCAGTAAAACGTATTGACAAGTCTTACACCTGGTATTAAAAAGTGTTTAAAGCACACTTAATAGAAAACAACAACAAAAAACATTTGTTCTAACAAAATTTATTATGCAGTAATTACAAAGATTAAAGACTTCCATCTCAAATAAAAATAATTGTTATAATTACACACATAATAGAGTTTAGTACCCTCAGAGAGTGATTGCAATAAATATCACAGGAAAAACAGTGCATTTTCAAATTGGACAAACACTTTCTCATTCACAGTGCTTTACATAGGAAGGCCTGTCCATGTAATGACTCAGATACAGACATGCTCCTGTAACAGTCCACCAGAGCTGTGCCAGCACAATTCGTTCAGAATGTGAAGTACCGGGCAAACCACTCCTGGCGCTGGGGATCTGGAGAAGCCACCGGGGAAGCTTCACTCTGAGGAGGACTGAATTCATAAAAAGAAAGACATGTAACCCAGGATTAAACGGTTTGCAAAGTAACGGGAAAGCAATTAAATAGTAAGCATTGATTTCCACAACTGGCAACCCTCGTCAGAACTGTAAGGACTGGCTACTCTTCTGCATCAGAGTGGGTCCTCTGAGAACAGGAGTTAGAGTGGCAGCTCAGATGAACTCAGTGACAGGAGTCACATCACATTATTAATTATTACTCCATAGGGCCCGAAAGTAAGCAACTGGCAAAAACAATATTATTGTCTTGGAAGTTTTAAAAAGTGAGTATTTGTGGGAAAAGAGAGAGGACAAATAGTGTTCCCTCTTTGGGCAACTTCTCCATCTGAATTACCATACTCCGACACAAGCACTGATTCTCACATTTGCATCCCTCACTAGAACTCCAGTTGTAACTATACCAACGTATAGTTCTATTTTACTATTTGCACATTTACATTAAGCTTCCATCATTCCGTAAGCACATATGCTAAAGAGTGCATTAGAAAGCAGGCTTTCTTCTATTCTCCAAGTAGTATGTCTTAATTCTAACTCAGACTCTTTGGGCTACTTAAGAAAACAAAAGCATCCCTACCGTCTTTGGGGGAATTACAAGGCACGCAACAATGGGTAATGGAAGCTCCAGCGGTCAAGTTCCTTGAGCACATGCACATGCACCTTACTGATACCTGAGCGCACCCACGCGGGAAACAAGCAATACAAAGTTTTTAGACACGTTCAGAGACAGCTTTGACTAGATTCATTCTTACTAGTTTCTTACTCTTTAAAAGAGTTAGTCATTGACTATGTTAGAAATCACTTAGCTTACAAGCAGAAATACTAACTCCACTTGTAAAATTTACTAGTGGAGTTATTAGGATTTAGTAAAAAGAAAAACTAAACTTGAATCAACCACAAGAAAAATAAGTTGTATTAAAGTGAGCACAAAACAGTACTTTTTAAAATTTTAATCCTTTAATGGCTTAATAATTTCACTTCGTTCAGAATTTACTTAATATATTTAATCAGCTCTGAGGCAACTTCAAACTAGAATAATTTTAAAACTGATTTGTTTCTAAATTTATTTGTATTTAACTATATCATTACATTCTCAGAGCTTATTTCTTTAATTTGGCAATATGCATATATATCTTAATAAGCATGGTAAAAGGAAATAAATATGTAAACTATAAATGAAAATTTTAATAAACAAAAGTTAGCACTAATGAAACCTTGGTAAACTATAAATATTAAAATTCCGAGCACATGAATTATGTGAACACCTCTGTTAGGATTTAGAAAATTCACTAATGATAAATGAAAAAAAAATCTTTGGACAGTGTCAAAACAGAATTCTCTGGAGTGGCCAAAAGGAAAATTTCTCAAGTTAAAAATGTGAAGAAGAAGAAGAAGGAAAAAAACCAACTCCTGGTGAGACGGGGCTCACCTCAAAAATGTCTTGGGCTCTTTGGGTGGTAGTGGCTGTGGAAGTGGCTTGTTGCTGTTGAACTCAACCTCATGGATTGGAGAATTGGGAATGGGTTCCAAGCGGGTAGGGTGTCCATTGCCCACTCCACTGGATTCCAGAGCACTTAGATTGGGAACACTCACAAACCTGTTTGTTGGTGACTTATCATTCTTCTTCTTTTGCTGCGTTAAAAATAACACACGTGAGAATACTCATTTGCTGCAGAAGGACCAACAGGCAAATAGTAGGAGAATATAAATTTGGCATTGAAAATTTTTGGAACCTTTGTGTCAAATTATCATGTTTCAATTAACCAGTGTTACCCAAAGTGTGGTCTGGGGATCCTTGAAAGTGTTCGTCTACATGGAATCCTCCATGACAGACATGCTCCCAGGACAGAAACACAGGGCAAGGGACGCTTAGGAGTGGATGGTTCACCTCTAGTCCCTAACCACTGAGAGGACTAGGAAGAGAATAGGGTGGAGTGCGGGGTGCAAGGAACAGGTGAGGCAGGAGAAGTTCCAAATACCACAGGGTAAGTGGGTCTAGGCTAAAATTAGAAGGCATGAAGTTAAACACAATATTAAAAGAGAGGTCCTTGAACTTTATCCATCTGTCAAAGAGAGGCTGTTCTTGCCTGGAAAAAAAAGGAATAAGAAAATGCTTGGCATAGTAGTTTGAAACAAATCTTACATTTTTTTACTGAAGACTTAAAACTGACTTAAATAATGTGACTTTAAATTCTCTGTGCCATCTTTCTGAAGAAAGAAAATTAAATCTGTATAATTAAATCTGCATTTTTAATTAATGGGCAATATCACGAATTGGCTCACAACTTAACGGCTAAAGTCAAGAGTATTCAATTTTTAATGTCCAATCAGTACTTAAAATGAACAGAAATAAGAGGAACACAAATGCAGCCTCAGAATTTGTCAGCTTGCAAGTTTTTAACTTTAGTCTCAAAGAATTTGATCCCTAGTTCTAGAATTGATGAGCATCAACCTTTATGAAAAATAAAAACTAGTATGTCGTACTTGATTTAGAATATCCTCACATGTTTTTCAATTGGATATATGCTGAATTTTTTTCTGGCAAAATTAGTATTAAAAAATGGAAATTATATATATATATATATATATAAGACTTTTAGACTTTTACTTCACTTAACATAATCCAGTCCCGTGGACATCGGGCATACCATGCCCGGTGACTGACAGAGCCTATGATAGAGTGTGCTGCATAGCACTGTGTGCGAACACTGGAAAGCTACTAGGAATCAACAGCAGCTGGGAGGGTCTCTCAACACTCTATCTTTTGCCTTTTCTTACTCTAATCTGGAGATATCTTAACATTTGAAAGATTTCAGGTGTTTTTTGTTTTTTGTTTTTTCTCTTTTTCTTTAGGAAATCATACAGTTGATAGCCAGGTGTGGTGGCCATGCCTTTAATACCGGCACTCTTTGAGTTCAAGGCCAATCTGGTCTACACAGTGAGATCAGCCAGGGCTACATAGTATGACCGTGTCTAAAAAACAAAACCAAAACCAAAAAAATATACTTCTGGTAAAATTCTAAAGTAGTAGTGGTTCTAAAGCTAAAAAAATTAATTCTGATAAATGCATTAAATTCTCTAGTATGCTTTGTTTACATAAACCTTAAAATGTTTTCTACTTAAAAGCTATGTTATCCTAAATCATTAATTTTAAAAATACAATTAAAGCCAGGTAGCTGTCACACAGCTATAATCCAAGCAATTAGGAGGTAGAGGTAGGAGGATCAGTAGTTCAAGGCCAGCCTTGGCTACAGTTTAGTTCAAGACTGGCCTTGGCTATAGGGTGAGTTCAAGGCCAGCCTTGGCTACAGGGTGAGTTTAAGGCCAGCCTCCAATATAAAGTGAGTTTAAGGGCAACCTAGGTCACATGAGACTGTTTCAAAAAATCAAGCCAAAACAAAAACTGAGCATAAAATTTATTCTGTTCACTCATTCAATTAGTTATTGAGAGCTTTCTATGTGAAGTTCTAAAGACAGCTATCATTTTTAGTTTGCAAAACACTAAAGTTTGGAACACTCCTGAAGAAAGAGTAAATTTGGTGTTCTAAACAGAGAAATTGTATGAGCTTTGAAAATAACATTTCTGGGTAAGGGTCTAGCAGAAATCAGCACAATGTGAAGCAATAAAATATGGATTAAAAACCAGCTTTAATGTAAGCTTTATTTTATTATTGATTTCTCCTAAACAGATTCACAATCCACGTGAAATCAGCATATGCAATTATTTATTCATTACTTGCTTTATTTTGTATAATAATTTGTGTTGATTTTAACAAAGTGTGATAAGTTTTTGCAGTCTGACACATTTACTGAATACCCACTGTACCCAAACACTAGGGCTGGAGGGAGAGGAGCAAATGATGGATAAGTTAGCCAGATTTAATTCAAGGTTCTTCCATTTGCTCTAAGAGAATAATAGAGAATCAGAAAAGTTATACTTAAATTGTCAAGAACAGTCAAGACTGAAAAGTGGGCTCACAAGTTCAGCTGTAGTTCCCTTATGACGGAAGGCTTGGAGCTAGGAAGAACTGTTTGGCATTTGGGGCTAGAGTCTTTCTCAACTCCACAGAGGATTGTGATCAATAAGGAAATGACAATAAATTAATTTGTGTCAGAAGTATGCTTTTCTTTAGAAATATGAAAAACAAAGATAGAGCCAAAGTGCTTGGATATTAATAAAATATTTTAAGGAGTATAAATTACCAATAAATGAGTAGTTCATTCTGAAAATGAACAAATAAAGAACTAATAAACTTTAGCAGGAGGTTATTACACTTAAGAAACCATTTTGGAAGCTTTACCCTTATGCTGCTTGCTTCACATAACTTAACCCATTTCCCTCCAGGTCTTAAGTACATCCCTACTTTACAGTGTCTATGGCACATACCTTAGCCAATGGGTTAATAACACCAACAGTAGGACTTGTGTTAAATATTTTGTTGAAGTTAGTTTCTCGATTGACTAATTCCAGTTGATAAAATTTATTATCCTCCTATGCAAAAGAATTATAAACAGCCTTTCAACATTTTCTATTATAGATTTACAAACTTAAACTGTATGACTGCCATTTCAATAAAAATTTAATATACTATGAAGGGTTATATATTTTGTTTAAACATGTCTAGGCTTGATTGCCAGTGTCCTAAAGATTGCTAGCAGGTCAGCTTTTAGCACCTTTTAAACCCTAGGCCTAAGGATTTAACCATACCGTTTAATACCCTTTTATTCAAGACAGGATCTACTAAGGTCCCATATCTCTTTGTGGTACTGATTGTGGCATCTGCATGGGTCTAACTTGTACTTGAGGTGTATACACACAGCTGTCCTGACAGGAATTAAGTTAATACTGCAGAGACACCTACCAGAGTATAGTAACAATGGTCCCCAACAAATTGCATTTTCCCCACGAATCTCATGCTCAGAGAAGAAAAAGGCAGAGATGCCAGGCAGAGGGAAACTTGTCCCCAAACAGGACTTCCAACAGTTCTGACAGGTTGTCAGATCAACTTGTTGGAGAGACTGGAGCTAAGACAATGGTGATGGACAAGACCACATCTGGGCCAGAACTAGTAAGTTATGCATACCTCTTGTCCGGCATTCAAACGTCTCATGTCAAGACCCCAAATATGGACACTGGGGTTCAGGGGAGAGGGTCGTGAGACTTGTTTTTACCTCTTCTCATGTGGCCTCACGTAATACATTTCCTTTTTCTGCCTTTCACTGTTGTCTGTTTAATTGGCCTATTGAGAATGGGTGGCCAAGCCACCTGGGTTCGGGCTGCCAGGGCCAGATGCTGACCCTAAGAATTTCGTTACCATATATGGCTGAGTGTTTTCCATATATAAAGATGATACTACCATATGTATTCCTCAACACCTGAAAATGGATTTGATCTCATCTAGTCTTTGACATAGTAATATAGTATAGCAGTGGTAATAGAAAAGTGAGTGGCCTCTACGGAGATGAATCTTTCATTTTGGAGTCATGAGTACGGTGTGTTAATACAGCTGATAGAGCAGCAGGGTAAGAATGCGGGCTATGTTCAAACTAGCCTTGGTTCTAGTGTGGTCCAGCACAACTAGACCCTTCATAACCATCTTAGTCACCACTGACTATCACTTATATTACAGATCTTAGCCCACATGCCTTGAGGTTCAGGGCATGACTGTGTTGTAGAAACCGTGTGGAACTGCCCTTGGTTACAATCCCGGATCTGCCCTCTGGTGAGGCTAAATACAATTTATCTGTAACATTTCAAGTAAAAACTGGAAAAATAAATAGCCACTTGGGGGCCACAGATGAATACACTTGCTATGCTTGCTCACTTCATAAATGAAACAGCAGTTGGTCTACTCTCATTGGCTAGAACTATGCTCCTATGTACCACACTTGGAAAACTGGGTGCTTGGCAGGTTGCAGCCCCAGGAAACACTCTCTTCACAACCTACTCCTGGGCTCCCTCTATGGACCCTAATCATCCCTGTGAGTTAAAAAAGGAACTTCCCAGCCTTGAAAACTGATGGAATTTTCTAACTCATAAAGTAATTTTTAAAGGATGTCAGAATATTGGTCTTGTGCTGTTACATGCTAGTATTCAGAGTGTATAATTAAAGCAATCAAGGAACATATAAATGATTAGTGTTGTTTTCACTTTTACTGTGAAAGACTTTCATTTATTAGTGGCAATAAACAGCAACATTTTAATTAATGACCAGGATAGAGCATTTTAGAAAATTCTGAAATATTTTATAAGTTTTCAAACATCTGTATATTTTTTTTTCTTTTTTTTTTTTCAGGGGAGAGCGAGAACGCAGTCCCCCACTACCACAAATTATGCAGTCGAGTTTCCCGCATTTGGGGAAATCGCAGGGGTCAGCACATCCGGAGTGCAATGGATAAGCCTCGCCCTGGGAAAACCACCTTCATGATCATGGTATCTCCCCTGCCAGGTAAGTATACATCTGTATATTTTTATTCCCAAGTAATAATGGTCTTAATGAAGACAGTATATTCATTGTTTCAAATCTTCTATTTTTCTCAAATGGACTTCTGAATGCCCTTGACACTGAGCACCTGAGTACAGTTCTTCCTAGGCTAGACTGTGAAACCTTTCTTTTTGTTTGTTTGGTTTTGGTTTTTTGAGACAGGTTCTTGAGTATACCAAGATACTCATGAATTTGATATGATGCTCAGGTTGGCGTCAAACTTAAGATCTTCCTGCCCCAGTCTCCTGAGTACTTATATGGCTCAATAGCTCTCCTGATCAGTGTTTGGTGGAATACACCTTAGGAAATCAACATGCCTGTAACTCCAGAACTTCAGATACTGAGGCAGGAGGATTGCTGTGAGTTTTAAGCGCTCTATAGCATAACTCTATCTCAAAACAAAATAAACAACAACATAAAAAGAGACTAATCTGTAAGTCGACAATGCAAATTAATGCATGGCTTTCTTAACAGATTTTTCTTAGTTCTAATTCTATATGTACAATATGCATCCCTATATATAGGATGTTAATTAGCAAGTGATAATGAGATTATTAAACATTTAATATATATAAAACTATTTATTTCAATAAAAACACTGAAGAAAAGCATAAAATTACCTTGTTCCAATGCCCAATTTAAATTTGAAATTACATTTTTATAAACTTGATCACAATGCACAGATTTTTACATTTTTCATTTAGCATTATTCAAAAATATTTCCCCATGTCTTCCCAACCAACAGTCTATTGATTGCTAACATGGTTATACTAAAAACAAAATATCTTACAATTAGTTTCTTTATGACCTGGTCTCTTTCTGTAAGCAAGGATTTTAATTCTGCAATCATCTGTAAATCTTCTGGCTTCGATTCTCTCATTAGGTACTTTTCTTCCATTTCTTCTAGTCTATAAACGAGAAAACCTTTATCTCACTGATAGGACTCAGACACAACCTGTTCTAATAAACACTTACATTTTTCAATTAGTCCCGTCAAATACACAAAAATTTAATGTAAGACTTGCAAGCATAACATGATTGCCTCAAGAGCTACAGCTGGTAAAGTCTTTGCAGGAATAAAAGACATTAAGGGCTCCACGGGTTACTTTTGGAAGGATTTATCCACTTTAAGTCGTATGTAAATGAGGTGAGGTAGGCTCTGTGAGGGAGCTGTGAAGCTGAATGACACAAACTTCACAAACTCAGGGCAGTGACTCTTGGGAGTGATTACCATCCATACACTATTGTGTGAGGAGGCTTGTAACGAATACAAGGCACAAGAAAAGAGACAACGGAGAACAAAAGACACACGTGAACGACATCCGCTTGGTGTGGTTTGTGGGGAATGCAGTTTTAAAGCTCTCCATCATCATCGGGTAAGAGAAGAATGACATTTCCTTGTAGGCCTACCCCTTCCTGAATGGTAAGAGACTGTTAACAGGAGTGAATACCACCGAAGAAGACTAAAACAGGGGCCGTTCTTTAGGAGCAGAGGTGGCATGGAGCACGCAGAGTTTAAGGGTGGAGGCAGGGCCGACAAAAAGAGTGCAAATGCAGCCTGCTGGCTTAGTTTGGGGGAAAAAGAACCGTTTCAGAAATTATAAATAATTGGATCAATTAATTTTTGTTATTTTCTGAATAGACGGGGTAGAATTAAAACTTACTAAGTTGTGGTTAATGAGGAGTCTTGAAAAAATTTACTTAGCAAGCACTGAGCAACTTCTAGACGACCCATCATGTAGATACCAGTGATCTGTCACTGTCCCATCAGGCCAATCCTAGAGAGTAGACAACCTCTGAATTGTACTGCCACAAAAGCTAATCCGACTCAAACAAATGATTTGGAGAAAAAATATCTGGCTTCCCACCCTGCCCCTGACTACTACTCTCAAGGGATGATAGGGAAGGGAGGGGCTAGACAGTGATCGTTCCTGGCTCTCCTGGGACTTGGCTAAGACAGTGTGGAAGTTAGTCACACGGCACATTTCAGTGCCTTTTCCCCTTCTCAAAATAAATGAGGTCCTTTGAGGTCACAGCATCGTCTTACATTTTGATTACAATATGAAAGGAATTACCTGTCTACATTTGACGAGCCAATGTTTCAGTTTTCCTTTCTTCTGTCTTTTTCATTTTTTAATTTATTATTATTATTATTATTATTATTATTATTATTATTATTATTATTTTGCTTTTCAGTTTTCTATTCAGGTTCATAAATACTATCTACTCAAGAAGAAAAAAAAAGGTATTTGGGGTTTGTGCGGGAGCAGCCACAAGATGTCACTGGAGTGCTGCCTTTGTGGTTGGAAGCAAAGCCTATGTGGAGCCACTTCCCATAGCTGGGGGAAGAACTAGGAGAAAAAGGAGCTAAGCCCCCCCCCACCATGTCATTTCTGTTGCAGAACCATGAGAAGAAGTGAGTCTAAAACAACCCTTTACACCTTTGAACTTCTTCTTGTTGTAAAGACCTCCTTTGTTCAAGTGTGTGTTTTAATTTAGCTGAAATATCCTGTTATTTTTTTTAGAAAAGGTCTTACTATGTTGCCCTGGCTTGCCTGGAACCCATTATGTAGACCAGGCTGGTCTCTAACTCTCAGAGATCCACCTGCCTCTGCCTCCCAAGTGCTGGGATTAAAGGTGTGCGCCACCACACCTAGTTTAGCTGACATTTTAAACTACACAATTACTATAAACTCATTCTACCCACAACATATCTTTACATCAGCAAAAATTTTAATAAAAAACTAGATAATAATGAAGACAAAGGATTGACAGGAAACAGTCTATAAATGCAAACAGGAAAGCATTAAAGGAGAGGACAAGAAACTATTATGAACCAGTGGTAACTTACAGATATACAAGAATCCTATCCAGCATTCTAATGGGAAGGAACTTAGGATCATTCTAATATCCACTTCAAGGCCACACTAGCCAATGTTTTCCCTTTCCACAGCCATCTGGGCTAGACTAGACTAACAGTGCAAAAGGCCAAGTGCAAAGGATGACTAAGAATAAGGAGATTTGGCGGGGGTGGGGTGGGGTGGGGTGGGGGGTGTTCTAAGTTTGATTTTTTTTTTTTAGTCTCTTTTGCTTTTTTTCATCCTTTCTTTCTTTCTTTCTTTGACATAGGGCCTCAGTTTATATCTTGATTTGAGGTACACTCAGAGATGCCCCTACTTTGGCCTCCCAAGTGCAAGGATTACAGACATATACTACTATGTCAGCCAACCTCTAACCTTTATCATCACAAGGAGTCTGTTTGGTCCCATAGTTCTTAAGTGGCCTTTATGAAATATGCTTCTGACCCTAATTCATAAAAGTCAGGTCTCTGAACATTAATATGGTAGGTAGAATCCCATTTTATTTTCAGTGAGTTTTCAGATTCAGATTTAGTTAAAAGTAATAAAGACTGAATACAGAAAGAAGAATCCGAGCACATAGAAATACTAACTAGGGTCCCTGCTAGTCTCTAGTCAAGCGTATTTCTTGGTGTATGTGTGTGTGTTTCAGAGTGTAGAGGTCAATTTTCCACAGCTCATGGACAACATAGTCCTGTATTAAACTGGACAAAGACGTTTTCCAAGTTATCATTCACCTCATGTTGCTTTCTAAGACCCAAATGACAAGAAAATCAGTGACTAGAGACTGTAGAGCTGAACAACAGCATTACCGGGAACACACACAGTCCAGAAATTCCACTTTATGAATTCTGTTATCAATAAATGAAACAGGAGACTGGAGCACTTCACTGTTGGACTTTTCCCATAATTGCCAAGCAGACTTTTGTGTTAACAAGACCACTACAACTCTCAGCCATCCTCAAAGCTTATAAAATAGCGTGAGTGGGAAATTAAACAAAGAACCAAACAGCTATAAAATCATTGGAGTTTTAGAGATTAAGGACTCAAAAATAAGAAATTCTGGAATGGCAGAGTTAGAAATGACTGGCCTATCTAATGTCCATGTGCAGAATTGACAGTTCTCTCATAAAGAAATGATCTTTTTGTTCCAGTACAGTGAGGTGCTACTTTAAAGTAAACCTAAACAATTAAAAACAATCTCTGGCCAGATGTGATAGTCCACATCTGTATAACCCCAACCCTTGGGAGGTAGGGACAGGGAAAGCAAGAGTTCAAGGCCATTCAAGGACTACATGAAATCCTGTTTCAGAAAACAAACCAACTAACAACAAACACAAAAGTTAAAACGACCAACCCTAACCACTTTTCATATAGCAAACACTTCTGGACCCCAAGGTACTGGGGCAGTTTTTAAAGTAGCTTAAACTTTCTTTACCTATGGAACATGTCAATTAGGTAAAATTGAGTAGTCTAGCCTCTCCTTTGCTATTATGTTTTTTTTCTCCCTTTGTGGGTGTTGGGAATTAAAACAATGTCTTGTGCATGCTAAGCAAACATTCTACCACTGAGCTATGTCCTAGCTCCTTCTTTAAAAAAAAAAATGAAACAATACATTTTAAAATTAGATGCAAGGTTCTTGTTAGGATAAGAGTCAAGTCAATCAAATTTCCATGAAACTCTAAGTGGGTCTGAATACTCAGCACAATTTCTAAAAGTCATTTCAAAGATAGAGATTCTTGCACTGTTTCTACACTCCATTTATCTCAGGAGTTCAGTATTTTGTTATTTGTATTTGTAGAAGAAGCGAGAAGAGAAGCTTTCAGCTGCTCCAGTGTTTCCTCAGCACCATACTTTGGGCTGCCGGCTGAAGTATGGACCTTTACAGCCCCCCTCTCATCCCTCTAATAATTCACCAGGATTTCCTGAATCTGAAGCATCAGAGATGAAGTGCAGGTGTTCCTAACACCATAGGGTAACCCTTGCAATAGGATGTGAAGAGTTCACATGAACCCACCCCCATCTGTAAACTGTCTAAATCTTAACCACTCAGCAGATCTACAGTCTTCGTGTAAGGAAATGGCCAGAAACATCCAGTACTACTTTCCAATATGCTAGCTTCTAGTCCACGAGCTGTTGTTTGTATTTACATTAATTATGGTGAATTAGAGTGAAGTTCTCAGTCACACTGGTTACAGTTCAAGTGTTCCATAACCATTCATGGCTAACAGCTACTAGACTGGGAAGAGTCAATACAGAACGTTTTTGTTATCACGGAAAAGTGTGTGGGACGGTATAAGTCAAAAATAAGGGTACATGATTTGACTTTAATTAAACAAATGATGACCTAAAGCTAAAGGATAGTTACATGATGACAGCAGGTAAAAAGAGAAATGGGGTTGGCTCGTGTGGACCCAAGGCAAAGCCTAAAAAGAATGCTTGTTCTAAAAAAGAAGGCAAAATATTTTATTTATCAGTAACACTAATTCTTCAATTATCAAAAGGTCAAAATATAGAGACATTAAGCTAATGTTTGCTATCTATTAAAATTTCATAAGGAGCAAAACCACAGAAAAGAATAATGTCAAAACAAACACAACCTTTCCTTTTTGTGAATTACTATTTCTAAGGAGATGTCAGGACACACAGACAAACACAGGCTGTTCTTGGTGTGAGTGTGCTGTTTCAGAATGTGAAGAGGGGCACCAGGGTATCAGTGTCTGCCCAATATAGACAAAGGCCAGGAAATGTCAGAGCCAAGCCACTGAGGCTGATTTTATCCGATTTCTACCAAACATGTTATACGTATGCTCTGCTGCATTGCAGACATGTGAGGTCACGATTTCTACCAAACATGTTATACGTATGCTCTGCTGCACTGCAGACATGTGAGGTCACGGTGGCTGAAGAGAAACTTGAAAATTGACTGTAGCAAGAACAAACAACAAATCACCGAGTTTGTGGAAATAGTGAGCTTCTTTTCCATTTTATGGGTCACTTCACGAAGTGGGAACCCTCATGAAATTTATTCATGATAGATTCATATATGAACACCATGTGAAGAGGGCAAATGAGGGTATCAGAAAGAGCGCTTCATCTCAGTGGACACTCCAGTGAAACCAGCAGCTGGGGGCCTGGTTCTGCGTGAGTGTGTCTATGTGTGTCTGTACCTACGCCTGGAGTATTTGCTGAGACTGAGCGGTTACGTTGATAGAAGATGTGAAGACGGTATCTATATTCGAGGTAGGTAAGTAGGTATTAATAACACAAATGCAGAAGGCAGCCCAATAAAGCCAAGAATCTGACCCTCTGGGTAGTTAGTGGTGACTTAACTGTTACTTTATTGAAGTAGCTGGATAATTGGAAAAAGGACTATCAGTGACTAAGCCATTAGCAGCAGCTTAGAGTAGATTAAACCTAAGATAACCTAAAGTGACCAGGGGTTAGGTCAGGGAGACAGACTGAATTCAAAGTGGGTTTTCTGCAGCAGTTTGTAAGGATCCTGGAAAGACAGGGGCTATTAATCTTAATGAACATTAGGAAAGATGTACAGATTTTGACTTGAATAATGGGCTTACTAAATTTGAGTAATAACTTTATTTGTAATGATTTTACTTTATAGATTTCTTAAATCAAGGAAAAACTACTTAAATGCTAATTGTAGAAATTCCAGTAGTACCTGAGTACAGGAAATGAAGTCTCAGCCCCTTTCTTTCCCTGGGACCTACCAATGCACTTGCTAAATGGAACCACATTGTTAAAAGTCTATGTTTGCTTTGAAGGGCATTTTGATTTTTTTGTAAAATATGTATGGTTAACTTATGCATGGCTTTATAAAACTTCTATTGTTCGCAATGTACTAAAACGTCACATTATATAGTGAACACACTTTGAGACGTCACCATAGAAGTGATGTGCCATGGCAGCCACTTTTAAGATATGTATTATTTTAGCAGACCTGTGGCAATAGCAGCAAATGAAACAGAATCATTCAATGGCCTTATGCTAATTAAAGAACATACATAACATATTACATCTGTAATATAGTACTTAAGTCTTCCTCAATAAGTATCTTTTTTTTTTCTTAGATTCAAACATTTAGGCTGAGCTTAGACACAATGCTCCTCATTTTATTATCCACACACGAACTTTCTTTAATGCAATATGACTTACGACACTTGTAAAGCTGCATTTATTTCCTTGAGTAGCTCATTAGTCTTATTAAAATCTGCCCGCATGATATTTTTCTCTCTGAGGTGGTCTGCTGTCATGACATCCAGCTCTTTCTCAAGTCTCTTGTTTAAATCTTGTTCATGCAACCTGTTTAATTTATTTGTAGTTAAGAAATGTTATTCTGAAGTCAAGTGTTCAAAACTTCTATGTTCTACCAGATTTGAAATGCCCCCTTTTTGGTATAATATTTGGAAAAGTAATGTACACAGGTTAAGTTAAGCTATGTAGTTTGCTATAACCGTCTGTTAAATTTTGTCTCCTTTAATGCTTTTTCTAATAAAAACTAAAAAAAAAAACTTTAATCATGGTCATTTCCCAAAGTTAATGAATAATAAATACATCATCAAAATGCAGACATTACATTTTCTAGATGATATCATACCCACCACATATAGTAAAAAGTGGCCTTCAATGTATTATTGGGAGGGCACTCTAGTCACAAAACTAGGGACATATTGCTAAGCATGTCTCCAACAGTATTTCAGTCCAATGCATGTTCTGCTCTAGTTACTGCATACCTCATCTGCTGGCTGGATTCACTTCGTATTCTGAGGATTTCCTTCCCCTTAAATTCCAGTTCCTTCGTTAGGGTACTTAGGTTTTCCTGGAGGTGCTGGACCTCCTTGTCTAAGTCTGAGATGTGGTGCTCTCGGTGCCGTAGCTCCTCTTGGAGATCACTTATTCTACACATGTGCTCCTTACTCTGCGAAAACCAAAGAATGCTGTAATGTTTTCTACAGATTTGTTTTCTGGGTTGATGTGAGGGAGAGAAAAGGACAGTTTGGAATAGTAAGTATAATCAATCATTCTGACAAGGCTTCAAAATAAACTGCTCAAAAATGAGAAAACCTTGAGGCCCTTTCTCTTCCCGATGGCTAAGAAGTACTTGTATGGATACAACTGCACTATGAGGGCTGTAAGGGACTGAAAGAGGATGAAATCATAGCTCACTCATTTTAGAATGAGGAAATCATTACTCACAAGCTGATTTTTTTGCAAAGATAATTTACGATCAACGGCAGAGTCAAGAGGAGAACACGCGTCTTTGAGTAAGTTGTACAGATCTTATAGTAAACTGCTGGTAACACTGTCCTTTACTCTCCAAAGTGTTTCCCTCTAGGGATCTCACTACCCAACACACACAATCCATTCCTTAGAAAGGCAGACTTGGCCTGTTTTCACTGCTGTCCTAATAGTTATCTGTCTAGAAAGAATTTCCCTACAAGTCAATGTTTTCTACAAGTTCTCTAAAGTAGACTTTGACAACTTTACTGTAGGCATAGCTGAAGAGTAACTTCCCTCTATGGTTGCAAAGTGGCTCATTTAAAGTATCATGAAGAGCAAATCCAGGCTGACCACTTAACATGGTTAACCAACAAAGTAAAACTTGCAAGTGTAATAAGCTAACAGCAACTTTCTCTGCAGTGCCCATTGCCACGTCCTTCCATACATACATATTGTCACAATCACAGATTACCAAATTAAAAAAAAAAAAGGATACTGGGCCAAAGAGCAAAGTCTAAAAAATGTAAGCAGTAATGGCTAATTAATACTTTGGGAATATGAATTATCTTTCTTCTTTTTGAAGGATCTACTCCTTCTATACAGTTGTGTCATACAATGTGACTGTTTAAGTTAAATTCAAATACATACAATTGAAAATGTCATTTCTTGATTGTACTAGACAAACCTGGGCTGTGTGGCTACCAACTACCACAAAGGGCCTCCCAGACACAGAACGGTATGTTGTCATGGCTAGTTCTATGGAATAGAGTTGTTCTTACCCTTTATATTTTTTCATATTTTATTGTTTATTTTCCTAAGATGCAAACAAAATGCAAAATATCTAGTCAAAAGGTCATAAATGAAATGTAATTGTATAACGGTAATAAATAAATAATTGGCCGGGCGGTGGTGGCGTATGCCTGCAATCCCAGCACTTGGGAGGTAGAGCCAGGCGGATCTCTGTGAGTTCGAGGCTAGCCTGGTCTACAAAGCAAGATCCCGGAGAGGCACCAAAACACCACAGAGAAACCCTGTCTCGAAAAAAACCAAAAAAAATAAAATAAAATAAATAAATAATAAATAAATATATAAATAATTGTAATTATAATTGTATAAGGTTGCTCCTTCTTATGAAAAAGGAAACTCTTCATCACATTGATAATAAATAGTGCGGTTAGGGCCGGGCGGTGGTGGCGCACGCCTTTAATCCCAGCACTCGGGAGGCAGAGCCAGGCGGATCTCTGTGAGTTCGAGGCCAGCCTGGGCTACCAAGTGAGTTCCAGGAAAGGCGCAAAGCTACACAGAGAAACCCTGTCTCGAAAAACCAAAAAAAAAAAAAAAAAAAAATAGTGCGGTTAACAGTTATTACAAGCCCCTCTCCTAGCGTGAGGGTCCCATGGACCCAGGTGGAAGGAATCGGCACGGCGTGTTCACACTTACCTGCCTTCGGCTGATGTCTACGCTTCGCTCTAGTTCCATTTTGGCCGCAGCCAGTTCTTGATGGTGACTATGCCGTAATAAATCAATTGAGGCTGCATGCTGGTGGTTTAGTTCGGACCGCAAGGAAGCTGGCACGCAAAGGAAAAGGGTGAGACAACTTAAAAACGCTGCTAAGACCTCAGGGAAAAAAAGCTGCAAGAGATCCAGAATGCAACTTTTACAACGAGGACACTTGTAAAAGTGCACTGACTAGATTATCACACGTGGATTTGAAGTCTACTTAGCTTTGATGAGGGTATTAAAAATGTCAAGAACTTAAATGACAAAGGGTGTGTGTGTGTGTGTGTGTGTGTGTGTGTGTGTGTGTGTGTGTGTGTGTGTGAATTCAGTATGAAGATAAAGTGGTAGTGGAGATGAAATGCTTCGGCTGTTTTATATTATTAAGATAATACGGATTTTCGAGTTGTACCTTGACAAGTGGTTAAAAGGTAATTTTCCTCCCAGTAGGAATTTTATTACAATATCCCTAGAATATACAAAGTACTTGCTGATAAACACTCTCAATGATCTGGAGGTCAGTCAGTCATCCCATTCATTAGAGTCTGAAATTGATTTTCAATTTTAATTTTTTTTTTTTGAGACAGGGTCTCATGTAGCCAAGGCTGGTTTGCAACTCACTGTGCAACTGGAGCCTTGAAATCTTGGTTCTCCTACATGTATCTCCCATGTACTGGGACTACAGGCATGCGATATGCCTGGCCCTGGAATATTTATTGAATGACGACAGTATCCTAAGAGAGAATAAAATCTGACACTGTCTTTATAACTTCACAAGCCAGAGGTGAAGACATTACTCTAGGTGAGGAATTAACTAGCATATCAGAAGGTTAATGTGAAGTATAATGAAAAGTCAGTGGTGAAAAGTACCCAACTTTCTGAGAGTCAGATTGGGCATCAATCAGAGAGAGACTGTGACAGTGACTCCATCTGCAGTACAGCAGGACTGAACTGGGGCTCCTGAGGAGTGAAGGAGGTGCTCACATCACGAAGGCAGAACAGACGAAAGAAGCCAGAGTCGGGCCTGTCCACCACGCTGTGAAGTCTGTGTGGCAGGAGGTCACAGGGTACACACGGTGGCACGAAGGAAAACGGAACCCACGTGGATTTCACTTTAAACGCCAGGCCCATGGTCCTCACACTGAGCTGTGAGTGGCTGTGCTTCTCACAGAACTCAGAGCTCACCCATGGTACTTCCTGAAGCATGAACGTTACTCGAACATTTTTAAGTGTTAATATGGAGATATGTGTGAGTAAAATGCAAGTTGTGGATTTTAAAGCAATAACACGAGATCTAGCTGAAGAGATGCTGCCCTTGCTTGCAGCTGGCCGACTTAAGCTCCTCTTGAGGCCTTCACGGAGAACTTCAGTTCAGTTTCTCCTGGTGCTAAGGGCTTCTTCAGTAGAAAAACTTGCCAACCCTGTCCTGAAGAACCATGGGAGGATTTAAAGTGGGGAGTCTTGGGTGAGGTGTAAACAGCATCTCAAAGTTTTCTCTGCCAGAAAACTAGAAAATGAACCATGAGAAGGCAAGGCAGGAGGAAGGTTATGACGATGACGATTTATTTTAAAAAGTGATATAAGGGGCTGGAGAGATGGCTCAGCAGTTAAGAGAACTTGTTCTTGCAGAGGAGCCAGGCTTGACTCCCAGCACCCCCACGGCTGCTCACAATTGTGACTCCGGTTCCAGAGGCTCCAATATCCTTTTGTGACCTCTGAAGGCACCAGGCACGTATATGCTGCACAGATATACACGCAAGCAACACACTCGCACACATACAATAGACTAAATGAAATCTAAAAAGAAAGAGAAGTCACCTGGCCTTGAGGTAAGTATGGCAGGAGGAGTAAATGAGAGGAAACACACAATAAAAGGATTTAAGTATTGGCAGACAAAATGTAGTGAAAGAGAAACAACATGGCTCCCACTTTCCCAGTTTTGACAACTGAATAGTGATAGCATTAATCAGGGTGAGAAGTACAGGGATAGATAAGTACACTGGACCTCAGAGAAATGAGAAGCTCGTATTTCAAAGTCTATTTAAAAATCAACTTCTTAACATGTAGCAATAAATACCAATTTAATGTACACGAACAAGAGGTTTGAGGTGGAAACACCCATTTGAAGTCCCCAGCACATGGGTGATAGCTGAAGTCATGGAAGTAGATGAAAAAAGAAGAAGCTAAAGACACACACACACACACACACACACACACACACACACACACACACACACAGGTAAAATTGAATTACAAGAGAAAAGCAGTATTTAGCATTACATGTGGAAACAAGTCTGGTAAATGAGAGTAAAGAGTACAGTGAGAATATATAGTAACATAGAAACTAAGAGAAGAAAGACCCGAGAAGGCCAAAGTGGCCAGATGTGCACACAGAGAAAATAAGATGAGAACAAGTCAGTGATGATAGCCAAAAGCCGGTGGTGACCTCAGGGCGAGTGTGTTCATGGGAGTGATAGAGTCAACAGACCTGAAGGATCCTGACGAAGGACTAGTATCTAGAATATGTAAGTAGAACACTTGAAACTCAACAGTAACAGTGAAGAATCCAACCAAAAAGGAAGACATGAAGTTGATGAGAACATGAAAAATATTCAACATCTCTAGCCACTATGGAAATGTAAAGTAAAACTATAATGAGACATTTTGACATACCATCACAATATCAAAGATTGGTGAGTTGCAAGGGAAGTGGGTCATTCATACAATGCTAGTGGATTATGAAGTGGCAGAGGCAGTCTGATGAGCATTCTGGCAGGGCCTTTAAAAACTAATTAAACATGTAACTACTATATGACCTGGACACTTTTCTCTTGGCTTTTCTTCCAGACAACCAGAACCTTGTATTTACACAAACAACTTACACATGAATGTTTGTATGCATAAATGATAGCAAACTGAAGCCCAGATCGCCTTTGATGACTGAAGGACAGACAGGAATATGGTGATGCATTAGCTATGACTAGGAAGAAAAGAAAAGGAACAAACTAGAGACGCCCACAATAACCAGAGTAATGCTGGAATGTTATAATGAGTGAAAAAAGGCAATTTCTATAGAAACATTGTGGTGATGTTTTGTTGTACTCTAATAAAACTTGCCTGAAGATCAGAGGACAGAGCCAGTCACAGAGTTAAACACAGAGGCCAGGCAGTGGTGGCACACACCTTTAATCCAAGCATTCAGGAGGCAGAGATCCATCTGGATCTCTGTGAGTTCAAGGCCACCCTGGACTACATGAGATTGATCCAGTCTAGGTGAGAAACAGAGCCAGGCAGTGGTGGCACACATCTTTAACCCCAGTATTTGGGAAGCATACATGCCATTAATCCCAGCACTAGGAAGGTTGAGACAGAAAGTGAAATGGCTGGGTGGAGAAAGGCATATAAGGCATGAGGAGACAGGAACTAGAGCCTTTAGGCTGAGGACTCAGAGGCATTCAGTCAGAGGATTCATGGAGATAGGATCTCGCCTTCCATTCAGCATGAGGATTTAGTAGTGGTGACAAGTTTTTCTAGTGGTTTGTTCCTTTGTCTCTCTGATCTTTTAGCATTTACTCCAATATCTGGCTCCAGGTTTTTATTAAGACCATTTAGGATTCGTGCAACAAAACACTGTAGGTTGCACATATCAAAATGATGGCATTCTCAAACTGTCGACGCTATAGAAGTGGAGACCAGCCTGAGGTTCACCAGGAATCCCAGGCAGGAAAGGCAGGAAGAAGGTGTGCTCCCCCCATGATCTAAAAGTTCTGCATCTTACCAGTATCCATATCAATATTCTAGCTGTGACATTTTAATACACTTTTATAGGATGCAATCACTGGGAAATGGGAAAAGGCACGAAAGCATCTTTTTTTTATCATTTCTTCTGTATATGAGAGGGAAGCTGCACCCACGGAATCTCAAGGATATGGTCCTCTAAACTAGCCCCGGGCAATGACAGCACCAGTAGACATGACCCTGTGGATGGGAGATGTCATAGGCCCTCCCCCTAGATAAGAACTATAGGTAATTAACAGCTTCAGAGGGGGGACAATCAGTCTTCTCCTGGGAGAAGGTTACTCAATGCCAAGGGGTCTGCCCTAAATATTTGTATATATAAGCAACAATGGAGGCCTTGGACTCAGCAGGCTGCACTTATATACAAATACATATATACATATATGGAATAATAATTAAGGAAGAAAAGGTCATGAACTTAGGAGGAAACAAGGGACATGAAAGGAACTGGGAGAGAGTGGTGGGAGCGATGTAAATACTCATGTATGAAATTCTCAAAAAATTTAAAAATTTAAAAAATTCTCAAAAAAACTTAAAAGAAGGTATGTGAATCTATGGTTATCTTAAAAAGAAAACTTTTCAGAGATTCCAAGGTCTTCTTTCAACACGATGGTATTTAAATCACATTTACGGGAACAGTTCTAACACTTGGCTCTTTCAACCCCACCTCACACAACTGTGGAAATTGCATCCCTCTCTGGTCATAATGCTACAAAGGCCACCTCTGATCTTAACTCTCGGCTCTGTGCAAAGGCAGAGCAGCAGTTCGTTTTTAATGAAACCGCACAGCGCAGCCTCTAGCACACAAGTGGATATGTCACAAATCTTTGGTACGTGTTCACCGTTGCTATGGCTTTCACACAAGGTGCCACAGCAGCTTCTCAAGGAGAAGAAGTGAGATCTGTAACAACATGGCCCAGAAATTCAGCATCAGTCCAATGGGTGACGGACAGGACACGTGGCTCCCTCTGAGTTCCAGACAGTCACTCACACCCTGCTAGTCCTCTTTGTTCCCAAGTCCCACCTGGAAAGAGTGTGCACTGGAGTACGCCAAACACACAGGAAAAAATACCCAGAGAATTTGGAATTAAACCAAAACAGAAGGAAAATGAAATGGCAGGAATGAATTATCTAATAACGTCAGAAAACAAAACCATAAACAAATTTGTAAATACAATCTAACTTTTTCTTCAAAATGTATCTCATTTTACAAAGAACCACCTCATAGGAAAGAATCCCATACGAAACAGACTTCTATAAAAAGGCTGTTTCCCCCCCGCTTTCTTACCAAACCAAAATCCTGAAGTAAAAACACATGACTGCAAAGTCCAAGCCGTGAGCCATGTGTGGGGTGCACATGTGAATGCGTTGAGTGGATATGTGTTTGGTTGCATGTGTGTGGGTGATTGCATGGGTGCATGGGTATGAATACACCTGTGGGTGCATGTGTGAGGGTAGATGTGGGAATGCAGGTGTGGGTGCATGCATTGGTGTATGTTTAAGAGTGCATGTGTGGGTGCATGGGGCTACCGGACAGTGACTGATTTTTGGGATCCCTAAGTGTCCTGCCTTCATTTAGGTCCATGAAGACAGACAAACCACTTATGAACACTGCCTTCTCAGAGTGCAGAGGAAGCTGACACCATTTTAGCCTACCTCCTTGCCTCTTCACACAGTAACATCATCTTGATGTTCCAAAACTGAAATTTACAACTTGATGCTTTCTGTTGAGGGTTCCAATGGAGGAACGTATAAATAAGTATGACAAGATTATAATCCTCCCCACAATACCAAGCATAGCTTTTCCTTCGTCTTCTAGTTCAAACCGGAGCGTCTGGAGCTCCTGCTCCATCTCCATGCGGAAGCCCTCCATGGACTCTCGGTGTGCATCTTTCAGGGACTGCAGCTCTGCAGAATGTTTCTGCTGTAAGTGACTCTCCAGAGCCTAGACAGGAGAAGCAAATCAAATTATTTTGCTAGAATATAAGCAACAAGACAGAAAACAGCTCAGGAGCCTGGTGTTTAAGGAGACTCGGCTGCCTTAGTTCATCCTCATGAAAATCAGATATAAAGTAACTGTAACTGGAAAACAAAGTCATTGGGTCAGTTCAGTAGAAAACTAATTATGAAACCAGTTTGGCTCAATGTGTTTTGTTGAATTTAGAATTACAGACCTCTAGCTTCAGGCGGTTTTCAAATGAAATCATTTTCTAAAGTTACTAAGGATACAAACTACTGAAAACTAAGGAAAAAATCCTGTGTATCCAGAAAGGAGAGGAGAGGGGTGTCATTAAGAAAACACCACACACACACACAAAATAAATAAATAAATAAATAAATAAATAAATAAATAAATAAATAAACAACACAAAGCCCATTCCTCATTAGGTTTGCCTACGCACAGTGAGGATGTTTAGGAAACATCATTCTAATTAAATCTTTTACAGCTATTTTCTATAAAATATTTGTGTGAAGAAGTAATTCCCTGAGAATAAGTAGCTAGAAGTGCTTCTTGTTTATTCCTGAAATGTCCCCTCTACACTAAATGTGTTGATCACCTGTTCCCCAGATCATGGTGCTTTTTGGAACAGCTGTGTGGAACCTTTAGGAAGCAGGACTACCTGGAAGTAGGAAATCACTACCGACAAGACTTTTAAAGTTGTTGCTTAGGCCCAGTTCTGGCTTCTTCTCTGCTTCCTGGACTATGGTGATGTATAGCGCTCCCATCACTACAAGCTCCACTGTGCTTCCCCCAACTTGAAACTCTATGTCAAAGTAAACGTTTTCTCCCTGAGTTTTCCTGTGTTGTGGAGCCCTTCCCTCTGGGTATGGTATGGCCATGGTCTTGAAGTCAGTGCAGCTGTGCTGTCCTGCAGGAGACCCTCAGGGCTGAGTCTACAGGCATTCTCTCATGAAGGGGAGAAGAGCTCACTGGGCCACGAGACCCCTCCCTGATGGTTAAAAGCTCCTGGAGGAAGGATATGGGGCATTTGTCTTCGGTGGTATGTGTCCCTGTAAGTAATCCCAATTAATCTAGTCAGTTTATCAATCTAGACTTGCTGCTTTGGTCTGCTGTCGTGTCCTACCTGGAGTGAGGGGACATTAGTTCATGTCTCCTCAAGGAAAAGCTGAAACGACATTCTGTCACAGTGACATATGAGCAGCTATTACAGATTGCATGTGATAAGTTGCTTAAAAGGTTCCATGGATGTAATAGTCTACACGTGGTTAAGAGAAAATACCCACCCCACCCCAGGTCCTTAAGGGTGAGAGATGAACTGACCCCTGACAGAATTTTTGTTGCTTTTCTTTTACTGTAAGTTCTAAAATGAAATGTTTATGAGAGACTATGTCCTATAACTAGGGCTACATTTCTTTAATAGAAAAGTGGTGTTTTAAAATTTAGTATTTGGTTACTTATCACTATATGAAAAATGCTTTTCAGAAATGAAGCATGAGTGTCTTCCAGTAGGGGTGAAATGAAGGCTGTTTCACTGAGACAGAACCTAAAGCTAGGCAGGATGTCATTAAGCAGTCAACCTACCTAGCTGTGGGTTCTGTCTCAGTGAAACAACCTTCATTTCACCCCTATTGGAATAACGACAACACAGAAACATTTCAAGTTCTGATTTCTTCTGAAGATAAAAGTTCAATGACTTTAAAACTGCAACTGTATAGCATTTAACTACCGATAAGCGTTCACGTGTTACTTCAACTCAAAAAGAACGCTGCCCAGCCTTTCCTGACTCTTGTTTCTGCTTGTTTGTTTTGAGACAAGTTTTCATGTAGCTGAGCCTGTTCTCAAAGCTGACCCTGATCCTCCTGCCTTCACCCCCGGGGTGCAGGGATTACAGGAATGTGGCACCATGCCCAACTTGTCAGGTTTAATACTTTCTTGTTTGTTTGTTTGTTTTTGTTTTTGAGACAGGGTTTCTCTGTGTAGCTTTGGTGCCTGTCCTGGATCTCACTCTGTAGACCAGGCTGGCCTCGAACTCACAGACATCCGCCTGGCTCTGCCTCCCGAGTGCTGGGATTAAAGGTGTGCGCTACCACTGCCTGGTCAGGTTTAATTCCTAACCAAAGGAACCTCCTTGGTTTTCTGGACATGGTTTATAGATTACAGCTTACGATATAAGTAAGATATTTCTTTGTTTTTAGAAGTATAAGATTTCTCTAAAATGATTTATTTTTGTATACAACGAAAATATTTTGTACATATCAAAGACTCTAAGGTTAACAGCTGTCAACACAAAAAAAGTGTGAAAAGCTATAATCACTGTTGAATTCAACCTTAATTTATTTACATCATTTCTTAAACTAGTGCCTGCACCCTAATAAAAAAATTAATAAACAGCCTTTATCTATAATATATTATGTTGAAAATGATAGTATCACTGGTTCATCTACAGAATCTTTTTTTTTTTTTTTTTTTTTGGTTTTTCGAGACAGGGTTTCTCTGTGTAGCTTTGCGCCTTTCCTGGAACTCACTTGGTAGCCCAGGCTGGCCTCGAACTCACAGAGATCCGCCTGGCTCTGCCTCCCGAGTGCTGGGATTAAAGGCGTGCGCCACCACCGCCCGGCTCATCTACAGAATCTTTGTTATACTAAGGTCATTGAAAGAAGGTGAAAGATACATTGTTAAAAAAATGAACTAAACAAGCCGGGTGGTGGTGGTGGTGGTGGTGGTGGTGGTGGTGGTGGTGGTGGTGGTGGTGGTAACGCACACCTTTAATCCCAGCACTTGGGAGGCAGAGCCAGGCAGATCTCTGTGAGTTCAAGGCCAGCCTGGTCTACAGAGTGAGATCCAGGACAGACACCAAAGCTACACAGAGAAACCTTGTCTCGAAAAAAAAAAAAAAAAAAAAAAAAAAGAGATGAACTAAACAAAAACGAACCCCATTCCAATTGTGTAACACTAATGTTTTACAACCAAACCATGGGTGCTGTGGAAACGGCTCAGGTAAAGCGCCTGGCACCAGCCTGATGACTCACACTTGGATCTCTAGTACCCACATAGAAAAGCCAGGGGCAGCAATGTGTGTCTGTAACCCCAGGATGGGAGGACATAGGGACAGATGGACTCTGGAGCTCACTGGCCAGACAGCCTATCTGAATGGATAAGCTCCAGGTATTGAAAGACTCAATCTAAGAAAAAAACATGTGTGGAGAACCCCAGGAAAACAGCTGACATTGACCCCCTGCTTCACATGCAAATGCACACACCCATATGAACACAAACATACACACACCCCACCCCCTGGAAAATAAAGCAAAGTGATAGATATTCGGAGATCCTAGTGGAGAATATAATAATATGGGGGCTAGGGAGATGTTTCAGTGAGCCTAAATTTTGCTGTGTAAGCAAAAGAACACAGGTTTATTTATTTGTGTATGTGCTTGTATATAAGCATGTGTGTGACTGCAGATATACACGACGTGTGTGTGTGTGTGTGTGTGTGTGTGTGTGTGTGTGTGTTTGTGGTGGTGGTTAGAAGACAACTTAGGGTGTTGGTCCTTGCCATCCATCTTGTTGGAGGCAGTTTCTCGGTGTTTTGCCACATACAGCAGGCTAGCTGGCCCGTGAGCTTCTGGGGTTTCTCCTGTCACTATCCACCATAAGAACACTGGGATTACAGACGCAAGCTACTGTGCATGACTGTACATGACTTCTGAGGATCTGAACTCTGGTCCTTATGAGGAGTGGCACATGTTTTACCCACTGAGCCATGTCCTTAGCCCTGGACCTGAGTTTAGATCCTCAGCATCGATGTAAAAAGACAGGCAGGTCAGTGCTCATCTGCAATCCCAGCACTGGGAGGTGGTGCGGGAAGATCCCTGGACCTCACTGGGCAGTTTAGTTCATCAGTGAGCGCCAGCTTCAGTGAAAGGCCCTGTCTCCTTAAAAGAAAACAGGAGAGCAATAAAGGAAGACACCTGGCAGCAGCATCCAGTCTCTACACATGCCTGTGCAGATGTGCACATGTGCGTGTGCTGACACACAAAGTAAAGAATATGATAATAACCCAATAACATTCATTTGATTTAAATCCCTTTTAAGTTATTGTAGTTATAGTTTTTCATATTAGCTGTGGGGTTATGTTACAAGGAAATTACATTTGAAACATTTTTAATTTCATTTCACCATGAATTTTTTTTTCAAAGAGAAAAAAGAATGTAAGTGAAAAATCCAAGATTAGAAAACAAAAAAAAACTATACATCTCTCGAACCCATTTCTTTTTTGTGGGCCCACAGTGAAAACAAATTTAGAATTTGATATAAGTCTGAGTGTGGTGACACACATCTGCAATCCTAGCACTGAGGAGGTTAGGTCAGGAGGATTAGGAGTTCAAAGTCAGCCTGGGCTACATAGTGAGCTCAGGGCTAGCCTGGGCACAAGAGACTCAGTCGCAAAAAACTTTGATGAAAGATTATTACAATAATACACTATGACTAGAACAGTGACTGAATTTGTATCACAACTGCTAACTGTTAAGGAGCCAAAGATGTGCTTAGCTTGGTGTTATGATAAATAAACAATGTTATCTCTATTTTAACTTGTCTGCTATTGTGTGTAGTTGGAAAGATTTCCTGTGTCCTGCCTGGTCCTGTAGGCTAAAGAATGGATGCCCCAACGTTGCAGAGGGTTCAGGAGAGAGAGTCCAGCAAGCCGCCCAAGGAACAACATGTAATAGGACGCAGGTAAAGCCATGGAACATGTGGTGATATACAGATTAATAGTTATGGGCTAATTTAAGATATAAGAGCTAGCTAATAAGAAGCCTGCCATGGCCATAGTTTAGAGCCTGTGTGTGTTTACTTGGGTCTGAGTGGCTGCAGGACCAGGCGGGACACAGGAAAACTTTCTGACTACATTTGTGTACAATTAGTGTGTGTGATTGCAAACTGTGACTCCTAAAGGAAGTCATATCCTGGAGAACATCTCAATAAAATAATATGTATGTTTTTAAGCAAAAAGAAAAAGAAAAGGAGAAAGAGAAAAACTGGAATTCTTAAGAATCTGAAGGCTGGTTGTTCCTACTTCATCTCCAGACATTAGGCCCACACTGTGCTGCATATGGACCACAGGCCATTACAAAGAAGAATCTGAAGGCTAATTATCACCAAGTTCTTGGATGATCTCTGAACACGTTTCCCAGGAACCTTACCCTTTGTTCCTTTTCCTTCTCTTCTTCCATGGTCTGGAAGGCGAGGACATGTGCTTCTTTGAGGGACTTGTGCCTCTGCTGATGCTGCTCCTCCAGCTCCTCCAGCTCCTGCGTGAGTCGCTGGCGCTCCTGTGTGAACTGAGCTTGCAGCTGCTGCAGAGATGTCTGTGACTGGCAAAGCTGCAGCTCCAGGTTCTGCTTGAGCAGGGAGATCTACGCCAGGAAGACACACAGCAGACACTAAACACAAAGGTGTGCTTTACAGACTACCGACCCACAGGGAAAGAGCAGGCCAAGTAGATCTTATGAAATAGCCTTGTTGAGTTAAAATGGTCTACAATAAAAACCGAATCCAAAACTTTATTATTATTGGATGTGTGTATGCTGTGTGCATGTGGTGGTCACAGGAAAGCAGCATGGATTTGGTTCTCTGCTTTTACCTCTATGTGGGTTCTGGGAACTGAACGCAAATTGACAGGCTTGACTGAAGACACTCTATGTGCTGAGCCATCTCCCCCAGACCTAATCTTGCGTTATCACTAGTTTAAGTCTGTTTTCAGAAGGTACCTTGAAAATGGCCTAATTCTATGCTTACAATACAGAATTTGTAGTGCATATCTAGAAATCCAGTGTACACCTTTGCTGCACCATTTATCATTTATATGACTGGAAACAGGAGGCAACGGATGTTGTTGTAAGTTGAAGTCACTCTGAGGAGATAGTACTAAAGGTTAAGTGGCTTCTCCGTAAGGCAGAAGTGCAGTGGTTAGGACTGTGGGTTTGGAAAGAAGGGCCTCCTTCTCCTCTGCTATTAGTATCTATTCTCACCACAGTGTGGGAATTGATGTTTCCACGCACCTTCACTTAGAGTACTTCTGGAATATAGGGAAGAGCAGTAATTATTGTTAGCTGAGATTATTTGAGGACTGAAGACCTACTCTTTTGAATGACTTGTTGGGTTGTAATGAATTAATTTTCAGCTGAGATCACTTGAGGACAGAAGACCTGCTCCTTTGAAGGATTTATCAGCTTGTAATTTATGTATGTATATACGTATGTATGTATGTATTTTTAGCTGAGATTATCTGAGGACTGAAGACCTGCTCTTTCGAACGATTTGTCAGGTTATTTATTTATTTATTTGATGTGCATGTGTTTATGTTTATGTATACCATGTTTGTGAGGGTGCCCACAGAGGCTGGGAGAGGGCATCTGATCCTATCCCCTGGAGTTGAGGATATAGGCAGTTGTAAGCTACCAGGCATGACTGCTGAGCCCCAAATCCAGAAGAGGAGTAAGCTCCCTTTAGCCACTTAAGTGGAAAGTGATTTGTCATCCTTTTGTCAACAAAAAACATCAGCCTAAATATGTCAAGCATCATCTCTGGCTGTTTTGATTAAAATGAAGTCTTTCCTAAGAAGAAAAAGCATGCGAGTATAGATAAGTGTGTGTGTTATGTACATATAAATACATGTAGCTGGTGAAACAGTTTATTTTACCTATTTCCGTCCTTATCCACAAGTTATTCTAACCTGAAACAGAGTAGGTCAATTTTACTCTGAAAGAAGTCTGAAGAGAAGAACAACTTAGAGTCCAGATAAAAAGTCGTAAAATGCGCCTTGTAAACAACTTAATAAAAAGTTGTAAAATGTGCCTTGTAAACAACATAAGACATCATTGACTCATACCTAAGCAAACAGTCCCTGTGTCCTCCAAAGCCAACGGAGAAGGGCACCCTACACTGAGCAGGAGCCCTTTCTCTTTTTATTGGCTACAATTTTCTTTTGATGTGTTGGTGGCAGGAGCAGGCCACTTAACATGTCTCACAAGAAAAGCACAGGAGAAGGAGGCCAGACTGGGGACTCACCAGGGATGCCAGGCAAAACAAGACAGGAGAACCACTCACTGGCAAACAGGGAAGGCTAAAAGCAGCCGGAAGAAGTCACTGCAGGGAGCTTGGCTGCAACATTAGCTACACAGAAGGGTTTGGGACAAAGTTACAAAGTTACAAAGCAGGATTAGTTCGAAGAGTCAGGGCATGTTACAAAGTTACAAACCGGGATTAGAAGAGTCAGTGCATGTCGTCAAGGAAATAGCCAAGCTCTGGTGAGAAATGATGCAGCTGACACAGACATTTGATCTGTCATTATGTACTTTCAAAAGAGCTATTTTACCTGTTGAAACTTTATGAATGATTACTTTTTATACAATGGTATGTTTCAGAGATTTTACAGATGTGGGGGCCAAGGAAGAAACTGTAAATCTGATTCCAGGCAACTCAGCTTTTCACAAGTCTTCTGAGACAGGGTCTTGCTCTGTAGCCCAGACTAGCCTGGAATTTACGGCAATCCACCTGAGTTCAGAGACTGTGGGTGTGAACAACACACGTGGCTAACTTCATGAAAAAGGCACAGCAACCGATAAGGTCATGACGTGGGACAGGATTATAGTTTAGTGCTCACAGTTTTAGGCAAGGAACATCAGAATGAGATAAGTACTAAGGAGAATCCAGAAGGAAAAGGGAAGTCATACAAGGCAACAGTAGTAAACAGGACTGTGAACACTGATCTGTAATTGGTAGTCATTCTCTGCCCAGCCAGCAGGGTCTTGAGAGACAAAGGCACCTATCCACTCTCTTACAGGTTCAGTACTAGTCTCAGCATCAGGACGGGTCTCATGGCGACTACCTTATGTTTCTCTGGTGTTAACTTGTTAGACACATATGGGAAATGTAAGGACAGTGTGTGTCACATGTACAATTTTAACTGATATTCTCAAAGCTCTTCCTTGGCATCTGACCAAGTGGGAACTAAAATCTAACTAGCATTTTCCTTTCCAAGCTGTACACCCTGGCACAGCCTGGGTTCATTCAGAAAGAGTACACATGAAGTTTTGCTTTGCCCAGAGGTACCATTGGGGCTCTCAGTGGCCCCAGATTGTCCCCTCTAAATTAGTGGTTCTCAGCCTTCCTAATATTGCTACGCTTTAATAAGTCCCTCATGTTGTGGTGACCCCGATCATAAAATTATTTTTGTTGCTACTTCGTAACTGTTATGCTATGAATCATAATGTAAATATCTGATATGCAGGCTATCTGATATGCAACCCCTATGGGGGTCTGGACCCACAGGCTGAGAACTGCTGCTCTAAATGTTTAGGTTAGTAAGAAGCCACCCACTCACTTGGCCTTGCACATGTTTTATCTTTCTGACACCTGCTTTAAATGTTTATTGCCTCTTGTGGTGTTAAGTGGACCACAACTGCACCAAACTGTATTAATCTGTCTATACATCAACTTATACTTGAACTATTTAAATGTGAAGCTTATGAGGAAACAACATTAAAATAAAAGAACTGTCACAGTAATATACATTTAAAATATAAGCAGTTTAAACTTTTTCCAGCTTAAATATTTTACAGTATAATATACTTTACCTTAAGAGAACTCCAAAATATAATTCTCCTGACTTAGAATATATGATTAATATTTGAATCTACACTCTAGAAAGTAACGGACTCTAAATGTAGAAAGCACCATGCAATTTAGTACTCAAATATACTTGTTGTGTGTTCTTAACTTTGGAGGCACACAGACTCCAAAGTCTTTGCATTCATGCTCAATGCAGTGATGTGAGTTATGTGCAGAAAGCCTTATCATGCAACACAGCACTGCAAGAGAACACATTAGTAGGGCAGCAGGAAGTAAGTCAGCCTTTATTCAGCGGGAAAATTGCATACCATTAACAGGACAGATCATGAGCAAAGCAGTGTAATATGAACTAATGTTTTAGAGACATTATTTAAGCACCTGAGCTTAATATCGTTTATAAATACTTACTGATATCAAGTGGCATTAATTCAAAATAAAACAAGGATGGGGACTACATTAAAAGTCTGGAAACCTTGATCAATAAAGGGTAGAGAATATCTAGAAAGACTTGTCGAATAGTGAATGAGAAATAGCAGTTGCTTTGAATTGTATACTATACTCAAATTAAGTACTGTACATATGGTATTTGTGTCTTTGTGTGTCATAAACTTTTGGACATTTATCCCTTTACCTTTTTTAAAGACTTATTTTTATGTGTATGGGTGTCCTGCCTGCATATTATGTCTGTATATCACATGATGTAGTGTTGCAAAGGCCAGAGAAGTCCCCTGTAACTGGAATTACAGAGGGTTGTGAGCTGCCATGTGGTTGCTAGGAACTGAACCCAGATCCTCTGGAAGAACAGTCAGGGATCTTAGCTGCTAAGCTATTTTGACAGTCCTATTTTAATCCATTTAAAAAATATGAGAACTTGTATTTCAGAAAAGTAAATCCTTATTTTAAAAATTCTTACCAGTCTATGTGGGTATAATTAAGTAACAGGCTCTCTCTCTAGCTTGCAACAATTTAGCAATACCTTTTGAAAATAAAAGTTTACTCTCTTTTAGAAAATATGGCATTAAAGACAGAATTTTGTAGAAATGTTAAAAAGAAAACACATTAAAATATACGCTTTTTTTTTTTTTAATATAGGAGAAGTCATCTTGCCTCTCTGTAGAGCCCTTCATAAAGGCCCTGGGCCTTTACCACGTGTGTGTTGACGCTACTCAACATAAACACTTGGAACTAACCTAGTCATTTAGTACTTATTAGTATTCAAATGTATGTAGATTGTATCATTGACTCTACAAGTAAACAATTCAAATTGAGGGCACCAGATATGACACCAATGGAGCACAACATTAACCTACCAACTTTTCTGTTTTTGTTTTTTTATGTGATACTGGGTTTTCTTTCCTCCTTCAGTCTTATTACCCAAATTAAGGAACATACAAAGTATACAATCTGACCTCAAGAGAAAGCCTGTTGCAAGATAGTAAATGACCCTCAAACCTAGCTGTATATTACAGTAATCTCTCCTGGTGCTCTGAGATTCTGGCTCAGCACATTGTACTGAGTGGGTTCAGGCTGACCAACGTGTTTGTTTCGAATTACCCAAGTGAAAAGTGTGCACTGTATGTGTGTGGTACACACTCTAGAGCACATCAAATAAAGAGTCTCAGGCTGGAAATGTAGCTCAATGGTATATAGAGCTTGATCTGTGTCTGTCTCAGTATAATGATCTATTTTGTTTTGTAGAAAAGTATGTTAAGTATAAGTGAATAGTTTTCATCAAATATAGATAATTTATCTGATAAAATACTGATTTACATTTTATATGCTAAAATTTCTAGGTGGACACAGGACATACTTAAACAACAACAACAATAAATTTTTATTAAAGTTATTGTTGTTAAAGTAATTAAATACTTTTAATGTTTGAAGCCATTGATGGGGACACATATCCCAGTGTGTCAGAAAGAAAAGAGAATACCACTTTAGATATGAAGTCATGAAGGTGTACCCCAACTTGTGGGTATTGCCAGCTGTGGGCAGCCTCTTCAAAATGACTGCACCCTGGGTTTCATTTGATGATGCTAATGACTTTTTCTCTTTGGAGAGAACAGTAAGTTTACATTTTTTTTCCCTTCAAAATGGCATTCATAAGGTATACATGGTATTCAGATACATGACTCAGTATTTTTGTTTTGTTGGTCTGTATTTTATGAACCAGGGTCTCGCCAAATCACCTAGGCTGGTCTTGGACTTATAGATGCAGGACTGACATACACAGAATTTTTCTCCCCACTCTTTTTTATGCTCAAAATTGTTATTATTATAACAGGGTCTCCTATGTCTCAGGCTATGGCCTGGAACTCCCGATCTTTCTGGCTCCACTCTCAAGTGCTAGGATTACAGGCATGCCAGAGACCTTCCCACAGCAGTTGCTATTCTCTGCCTTTCCTTCTTTCTTTCAAGTCAGTTAGCAGAACTGTCAGAGTCTGCTGGGGTTAAATCATGTCCCTCTCTTGAAGAACACAGGCCTTTCTTTTACCACCAATATACAAGTAGGACTGCTGAAAGTCAGATCAGCCTAATTGTAAGGTACAAAGTCTAGTACTTTCAAATATTGAAAGCAACTCTAAAAACTGCTAACTTAGGCCTAGCAGAATACAATAAGAATGATTTTTAGTATGTCAAGGACTTACATACATTTTCATGAACAATGATGGAAGGTGCTGAGACATTTTAATTCTTTTTTTAAGATTACTAATTTGCTATTACTAAAGAATACAGGGAGAAGGGAAAGTGATAAAATTATATTTCAGTTAAAAATACATTTTTAAAAAAGAATATATTTTAGGTCATGAAATTATGGTCACTCTGTAAAACTTCTGTTTGGCAATTCCATTCCAAGAAAGAGTTTTCCTGGAAGATCCTAAACTAAGCTTAGCAAACTAGACAGCATCTATGAGATGCATTAACAATTGGGAAGCTGGACCAACGTATGGTGGGTAAGGAATGCCAGCCTGCCCAATGCTGTATGCTAGCAGTTCAGTTTGGCTCAGGATGATGAGGGTGAAAGGTGACCACATGACAACTATGATATCACATTGGGGGTTTATTAAATGAGGATTTCATTGTGTTAATAACATCTAATGCTACTTTTTTCTTAGAGAATGTACAAAGATATTCCCATCCAGTACTGATAGACACCTAAAATAATGTACTTTTACTTATGACATTAAGACAATGAACTGGTTTTTATTTAATTGGTACCTTTTTAACCACTAAGGGGAATAGTTATGTCACCACAGATATTCTAAGGTACAATGTGATTCATTTAGTAAACAATCACATTTGCATTATTATTTCTATCAATCAATAAACATGTCAAAAAATCTGGATTAATATTAATAGGACCAAAACTGAAACAATCAAGTCAAAATTCTTATTCCATGTTATGAGATTTTATTGTTAACAAGAATATCTTAATGTACCCTTGTTTTGCAAAATTGAGATAAACATATCTGTCACTTACTTTAAAACATATTAAGAAATTTTATGCTAATCATATTTATTCTCCAACTGCTTTTTTGTTTCTTCAAGACAGGGTTTCTCTGTGTAGTTTTGGTGCCTGCCCTGGATCTTGCTCTGTAGACCAGGCTGGCCTCAAACTCACAGAGGCTCTGCCTCCCAAGTGCTGGGATTAAAGGCATGCTGGCTTCCAACTGTTTTTATGTTGAAAGAAGAGTTGACTATGAAAAGTAAGTAAAGTTTTCCTTTCTCAGGTAATAGAAAATGAAAATATAAGTTTCACAGGACACACTGAGATTTGAACTTTGATCTGCCTGGGGAAGCACAGGCAGGCGACACTCTGTTTCTAAGTGTACTGGAGGACAGCTGTAGCACACCGGACACTCCAGGGAGTGGGTGTCTCACAGGACAGCAGCAAAGGCAGCACCCAGCTGCAGTATTTTCATTTTCTACTACCCGAGAAAAGAAAAATCCACCAGCAGGCCTTTTCCAGTGGAAGTGTGTGGACCTCTCCTGAGATATCAAGGAACTTACTCAAAGGCATTCAGCTCTATATAACCTTATCATAAAGACAAGGTAGTAATGGGTTTGATATGAAGATAAATCTCATTCTTTTTCTTCATATATTAATCTTTACTGAGTAGAAACATATGGAATATTATTTTGAAGGATAATTTCTGCATGTGTGTCCATATACAAGTAAAAAACAATACTTTTGCCAATTCTTAGGGAAGGGATTTACATTATTTTGCTTTTCATGTGTTAAAAATTAGGATATTAAAACATTTAAATTTTCACAAATACTTAATCCTTTTAGGTAAAGTCTATTGATACTTTTTCCAAAAATAAACTTTTAATTCAAGAAAAATATTTTGAATTTATTCCCATGTTATGATACTCAACTAGTTAGTATTTTTCAAGACTATTACCATGCCTTTCAAGGTTAACATTCAAATAATAAATTTTATGTATAAGATAAAAATATAGCTTGGCTTCATTATAAAATACACTTAATGAGACAAGATGGTAGGTGTATGCACATATCACACACAAATGAATGGCTGAAGGTTAGATATTATTAGTGCCCATATGCAAAAAAACTCATTGTGTGCCAAAGTATATTTTTGTATAAGTTAAAGCTTCAAAGCAGTGCTGTTATGCACAATCAAAAGTGCAACATGCCTTGTGCACAAATTGTAAGTGTCGCTCACTTACATTGTTGATAGATTTATGCAAAGCCTCACCCAGAGAGTGCCGCTATGAAAAAAGATCACAGGAGAAAGGGGAACATTCAGAAACCGACAAAGTGAGAGAAAGAAAGATTAAAAACGGAGTGCGAAACATAGAACAATAACTATAACATGCTCACAAAAACCAGTTCTGAGAAGAAATTGGATTTACAAGAAATTTAAGACACAGTGTAAATGATCCACACACAGTCCCTAAAATTCTCTGATGGACCCGTGGGCCAGTCTACTTACCTATACAGGATACTTAAGGTTAGAACATGAGAACCGAGTCCAGTGTAAAAGACGATGGTTACGGAAATGCACAGAGGGCTAAACTGTTCTAAAGTCTTCCAGATAGGGGCAACCTAACTGTTCAAGTGGTGCACACAAATGGCTGGAGGGCATAGGTTTCTCCAGGGAGCAGAGGAGAACAACAAAACCGCTTGGATGTTTCTGTATCACTACTGCCTTGAGATAATCACTGGAAATTGGGACTACAAGGAAAAGATGGGGGGATTTTTATATCTTTTAAATTCTCTTTTCTAACATAAACTTTATAGACAACAATGTTGTTTGTTAATGTCAAAGGGTGACTATGAGGCTAGAGATCTGGCTCAGAGGTTAAGCACACTTGCTGCTTTTACAGAGGACCCAGGTTCAGTTCCCAAAACTCACATAGTGGTTTACAACCATCTGTAACTCCAATTCCAGGGAACCTGATGCCCACCCTCTTTGAGACTCTAATGGCAGAAGCCCACACATGGTATACATACATACATGCCAAGCAAAATACTCATACACAGAAAACAAGATATTTTCACAAGGTTGACTATGCCTGGAAGACTAAGATATTCCAGAACGTGGTTTATTAGACTTGAATGGGGAAAGATACCACACCTGTGGATTTGACATGGGAGGTCACCGACATACAGAGCTATGTACATCACAAGACAAGCTGGGATCTTCAAAAACCATGGATGGGATGTTTGTGTCCCCAACCCACAAACTCCTCTGTTGACATCCCAACATTCAGTGGCATTGTATTAGAAGGTAGAAACTTGGGCAGGGGTTAAAGTTTTACCCCTAGGTCAGGGGTCTGAGTGGGTACTGCCCTTATAAAAGTACCCCAGAGACCTTCCTCACACCTTCCACTATGTGAGAGCACAGGCAGATGGCGCTGTCTACAAACCAAGAAGCCAGCCCCTTGAAGTTGAACTTTCCAGCTCTTGGAGCTGTGAGAACTGTTTATGTTCAAAAGCTAACATTTACAGCATTCCATCAGTATAACCCAGGTTAAGCCAGGACTACTGGTGCCAAGAAGTGAGGGTGCTGCTCTAATCTAAAATGTGGAAGTGGTTTAGGACGGGGTACTGAGTGGAGGCTGGAGTTGGGGCTGCATGCTGGAAAAGCCTATGTTAGTATGAATGGACCTAGTTGTAGGGCTCAGAAAGAAAAAGGCACGGGTGCAGGGAAGTGTCAATCATTTTAGAGAACACTCAAGGAAGACTGAGGAAATAAAAGGTTGGTAGACATATGGACAGTAAAAGCCATCTAGATAAGGTCTCGGGTGGAAAAGAAGATCACAGTGCTGAGAACTGAAGAAAAGGTCATCCTTTTCACAAAGGAGTTATGATCTTTGTGGACAGTTGCTTCTGTCCTCATTAGAGAAAAACAGAACTTGAGCAAAGAAACTGGAGAAGAAAGAGAAGGAGGAGGAGAAAAGAAATAAAGAAATAAAGGAAGAAGGAAAGGTGGGAAGGAGGGAAGGAGGGAGGGAGGAGGAAGAAAGGAAGAAAAAGGAAGGAAGGAAGGAAGGAAGGAAGGGAGGAAGGAAGGAAGGAAGGAAGGAAGGAAGGAAGGAAGGACGGGAGAAGGAAGGATTTCCCTGAATGTGAATCATCTGTCCATCTTTGGTTTCTCAAGGAGAAACCCTGCGCCTCACTGCTAGCAAGCCAGGACTCCTCCTAAAGCTGGTGGTGGGGTTCCAAAGCTTCAGGGCCAGGGCTGCTAACCCACTGTCTCCTTGTCTCTGGAAGCTGGGACTTCAGCTCCAGTGGCACTAGAGGGCCGAGGAGCGAAGAGGCAGCTCTCAAGTCTTGGATCTCACTGTACGTGCCTTGCAGTTTGGAATCATCCTTTTCTTTCCTACTTCTCACTTTGGGAAATGGAAAGCCTGTCTTCTTCCTTTCCCATCCTTGTATGTGGGATGCATAAAACTTACTTAGTGCTATGGTTTAGATGGTAAATGTCTCCTGAAAACCCATGCAATAACGACTCGGCTCTTAGGGTGGTGCTCCTGGGAGGTGGTGGAGCTTTTGAGAGATATGGCCTAGTACAGAGCCTTATATCACTGGGGACAAGCCTGTGAAGGTGAGAGGATAGGACTCCAACTCCTTCCTCATTTCCTTTCTGTTTCCTGGCCCTGAAGTTTTCTCTCTGACATGCTTTCAACCACTGACATTCTGGTACCACACCACAGGCCTTACAAGTAATGGGTCTCTGCAACTATGGGCTGAAATCTCTAAAACTGTGAGTCAAAACGGACTTTACACTTTATCATGATGTTGGATATTTTGTTATAGTGTGAGAAAGCTGACTAATCAGGTCCATAGGTTTATGGCAGGAGAGCAATTTGCTTCAGGATCTGTCATGATAGACCCTAAACTCCAGTCTGATTTGGATGAGACTTCAGGTTTTGACTTTAGGGTTGATGCTGGAATGAGATGGAATTTTGGGAGGGTGTTGGGATGTAATGGGTATATTCTGCATGTGAGAACGGCAAGAATCCTGGGAAGCAGGAACGGTGAAATCCTAACCTTTCATGGAGTAGTATTAGGAAGTGCAGCCTTTGGTCTAGCCTTTAGGTCAGAGGATGCTGCCTTGTAAATGGGACCCCTGAGAGCTCCCTTGGTCCTTCAACTATGTGAGGATGCAGTGAGAGGAAAGGCTCACTAGTGGGCCCTGGCCAGGCAGAAGTCAGAGGACAACCTGCAGGATTCCATTACCTATCTTCTACCACCATGTGGGTAATAGCATCAAACCCAGGTCCTCAAGTTTGGCATCAGGCACCTTTACCTACTGGGCCATCCTGCCAGTCGCCATTCTTTTGAAACTTGGTTTATTCCCTGTTAAAGCAGGGCAAGGCTTTCCTGTCCGTGATTAGAAACACGTTGTTATGTACATTCTGAAACCCCCTCACTTATAGACTATTAAGGAGAGAGACCCTGGGTAATGATTAACCACAACAGTTGACTGGAATGAAAGATGCCTGGGAGAACAAAAGCATGCTGCTGGGTGTGTCTATGAGGGCATTTTTAGAAACAACTGAGTTTATAGGGGCTCCGATATAATCAATAGATAAATCTATCCATGGGCTGAGATATTCATAGAAAAACAGGAGGAAGAAGAACTCTGGAAAGTAGGGACTAGTTGGAGAAGTACTCAGAGTACAGTACGCCTTGAACAGTGTACATCTTGCCTGTCTCTACTTCGTGGCTGCCTTATGCTCATGCCAATATTCCGCCCTGCAGCATGCCCAAAGTAATGGACCCAGCTGACCTTGAACAAAACCCTCTAAAACTGTGTGGCAAAATAAACCTTTTCTCCTTCAAGGTTTTGTTGTTGCTGCTTATTTTTGTTGGCGGGGTTTTGTTTTGGTATGTGTGTGCGTGGATATGCCCATGCAAACAGAGCTCAGAGGAGAACACCAGGTGTCCAGCTCTGTCATCCCCGGCCCTGCTTGCTTGGGGCGAGGTCTCCCACTGACCCTGGGGCTAAGATGGCAGCGAGCAAGGCCTAGTGACCCTTCTGCAGCCCGCACATGGCCGTGGTTACGGACAAGGACACATGACCACATTCTGGGTTTTATGTGGGTTCTGGGGATCTGAACTCAGGCCCCCATGCTTGCATAGTAAAGCCTCTCACCCAGAGTCATCTCCCCAGACTTCATTTTTTAAAAGTGATTTTTAAACTTGGCATCTGAAGTAACAGGTTTCATTATGTCATTTTCATGTATCTGTACAATACTGCTTGGTTCTCTCCCTCCCTCCCTCTGCCCACTTCTCTTGCGGTCCCTTTTCTTCCCTACATTGTGCCCTTTCTGCTTTCACTTCACATGTATTCTAGCATGCTCTATATTTCCTACTCCCTTCTCTCTAGACCTCTTCATTGCCTTGTCACTTCGTCACACAGACACATGCACGCACACGCATCCTAAAATATGTGTTCTGCACATGTGAGAAAAATGTGCTATTTGTCTTTCTTACTCTGGCTAATTACACATAACAATGGATTCCAGTTCTAGCCATTCCCTCCACATTATCTGAGAGATGAATTTAGATCATGCCTATAATCCATAGGTATGTGTCTTAATTTCTCAGCTAATGTCCTAAATGAAGATAAATAAATGAATCATCAGTCTGGAACCACAATACAATCTGCCTTAAGAGGGACATAAATGAATATATGTGTATAGTGATACTTTAGGATTAAAAACAGAGAATACGGTCAAGTGTTTTCTTTACAACTTTTTAGATATTATTGCAGAATGAGAACCCAGTTGTTTGATTTGCAAATTCTGATATATACAATATATACAATATTCCAGAAGTGCAGCCTGCACTGGGCAATGCTGCAACCCTTTAAATCTGGCCTGCTAGCACACACCTGTAGGCCTAGACACTTGGGAGTCTGAGGGAAAAAGAGAACTTGAGCCCATGGTTCTAGATCAGGCAACACAGTGAGACCCTGTATCACCACCATCACCATCTCCACCATCACCATCTCCACCATCACCATCTCCACCATCACCATCTCCACCATCACCATCTCCACCACCACCACCACCATCTCCACCATCACCATCTCCACCATCACCACCACCATCACCATCTCCACCATCACCATCTCCACCATCACCATCTCCACCACCACCACCACCATCACCATCTCCACCATCACCATCTCCACCATCACCATCTCCACCATCACCATCTCCACCATCACCATCTCCACCATCACCATCTCCACCACCACCACCACCACCACCACCACCACCACCACCACCACCACCATCACCATCTCCACCATCACCATCACCACCATCAATATCTTCACCATCACCACCACCATCACCATCTCCACCACCACCACCACCACCATCACCATTTCTACCACCATCATCACCGCCATCATCATCATCATCATCATCAACAACAAGTTAAAATATAGTCATGGGATATAAAGAGGGGTCAACGTCTTAGGAATAAGTACTGAAGAAACACAAAGAAGAAAGGAAGGAAGCAAAGAAAGGTGGGCAGAAGAAGGATGACCTCTCACAACTTATTTCATGAGGTTACAAAATAGCAAAACAGGGCCAGCAAGATGGTTCAACAGGTAAAGGTGTCTGCCACCAAGTCTGATGACATGTGTTCAGTCCCTGGAATCCACGTGGTGCAAGGAGGGAACTGAGTCCTGAAAGCTGACCACTGACCTCCACACACGCACAATGTACATGGGTGTATGCACACAAATAAATAGCATGTAATAGAAAAGAATAAAAATAAATTTAAATAAAAATGATGGTGAGATTGCTTTGTAATACAAACTCAGTCCCCAAAATGCCTGTGTTCAATACTTTCTGGCTGAAAAATATCAGAAAGACTTTAGGGACAGTTTCCATTTTATTATGTAATTGAACTGATGACATCTTGCTAGATGCAAAGCATAATAGAAGGATGGGGTAGTTTACCTAAGAAAATCTGCCCTTTTTGGTCCCTAAATAAGAATGTAAAAAAAGTATACAGAAGGTCACTAGTAAGCTGTGTAAATGTGATGCCAACCTCTAGTAAGAGTTGTTTGCTTGTTCTTATTTCAAAGGTTTCAAATGATTTGACCACACACACACACACACACACACACACACACACACACACACACACACACACACACTCTACCTTTTTAGAGCTTCATTATAAATTATAGAAACCAGACATAAATAGGCAGGCCTCAAAGCATTCCTAAGAGGGCAATATGTTTCTACATATATAACAATTACCTTACAGAAAGCCTATTTTGATTTCTATTTTGAAATTCTTCACCATCATAAACAGAAAAAAAAAAGATTAATATATCAGTAGATTTTCAGCACTAAATTCGGAGTTGCTTCATGCCCAAGTTCTACCCTTGCTTGGTGATATACACAGTAAAGTCTATTTAATTACAGTTTACCATCTGCCCTTGCTTGGTGATGCATACAGTCAGTCTATTTAATTACTGGATTACCAGGAGAGTACAAAAGGTCCATGAAGTCAGGGGTTATGTAAATAAGTGAAATGTGCAAACTATTTTAATTATAGTTATAAACATCTCGGAAAGAAGATAGATAGATCTAGAAATACCACTTTTCGTTTAGGCTATACTCTTCCAGTACTTAAGGCATAAACCCACAAGAGGAACAAATCTATCACTTGGGTAAATGTTTTTAGGAAATCAGGACACTGCTAATGAACATCTTCTGTTGTCCAGATGCCATCTTAGGGCTAAAAACAAAATGACTTTACATTTTCAAAAACTTGCCAACCTTCCCATGTAAAGTCTATGTGTTCTGCTCAAATGCAAAACTAAAAAATTATAAAATTGTCTCAGAATTTAGGATCACATACGCAACACATTGACTAAGCACAAATATGTTTCATATGAACATGTCTGTGTGGTTTTAAACATTTAAAATGTCTAAGTTTGCCCCATGGAAAACAAAATACAGTGAGGTGACATGCTGTAGGTTGTGTTTACGGAACTGGAGAGTGCCAAGGAGCTGAATGTCCCCAGGTGCAGACTACACTCTACCTGGTTTAAAAGGTCTTCCACCTTCTTCTGCCACGAATCCCTGGCGGCGTTTTTCTCTCGCTCTTTCAGCTGCAACAGTTGAGACATCGCGGACTTTTTATCCTCTTCGTGTTGAAGCCTTAACTCTTGGCGAAGTTTAGAGCACTCTTGCCTATAATAAAATGGAGGCATTTGCTTTGGAAAGAGAGTCGTCTCCCTCGGTGAGGTGAACTGTTCTCTAGTGATTCACAGGTTTTCTAAAAGCTCATTTAATTCTCACGTCTGTGAGTCTGTGAGTCAGCAGGCTAACTTTCAGGAAACTGGTAGCTTAACCAGGACCCCTTATCCATCTACCATTGGCAGAACAGTCATGAGAACAAATGAGCCTTCTAGTTTCAAGTTAGTTCTCTGCTTTTTTATATATTCAAGAAAAATAAATTTAAAGAGGAATGTGAACTCAAAAAAAAAAACCCTCTAAATTCTCTGCATTTAATCATGAGAAAAAATAACTTAAAACCTCACTAGCACATCTTTAATAAGGAGCCTACAACAGGAACACTTCTGCTCCTCTGTACCAGGAAGACCGCACTGCAGAGCCCAGGATACCTAAGATTTTCAGTCCACTTTATCTCTAGGTCATGGGCCATCCTGTCCGCCTTCAGCTTCTCTTCTTCCTTCATGGCAGCAAGGGTTTCTTCATGCTGGTGCCTCTCTTGTTCTAGCTCAGCCTGAGGACCAGAAACACAAGTGAGGACTGGTCTCCACAGGCCCGGGTCCTATTATCACAGAACAGCACGCTAATACAGAACATGCAAACCCTTACAGAAGCCATTGAGAATGCTAACTAGGAGAATTAGTCAAGATATTTCAACAAAACACATGAAACATTCTATATTTTAATTGTTCATTCCTTAATTTTTTAAAAATCAAAGCTTAAATGGTTTAAAGTTACTTTATTAAAGCTTTTTTAAAATCATAAACATATATCACACAGCCATGTTCCTCAAATTAATTCATATTCAATTTAAAATCAGGCCGTTTGTCCAAAGCCTAATCATTACATCTGTATACCATCAATATGATAAAAGGAATTCTGAGGAATTCAAGTTGACTGGATATTTCCTTATGTAACTTGAAGTCACAGGCCCATGTGTTATGAGAATGACATGATACACTAGAAATCCTTGCAGATTAGCATAAATCAAGTGATTCCCTGGAGCTGGTGGCTAGAGGTAACTACTTGGACAAAACCCACCAACTACAGACGACTGTCAGTGCTGTGGCTGCTCAAGGGTACGAGGCAAAAAGAAGGTGGCAGTCAGGCCTTTGATCACTATGATGGACATTTCTGGATCGCTCCCTGGCTGACAGCACAGGATAGAGCAGTTTGTTGTATTCATATTAATGGCAACAAAAGAAGTCAGTATTGAAATTCCCATTCAATATGGTTCACTTGGCTAACAAAAGGTAAATACTAGAAACTGAACCCGGGCACCTGTTCTAGAATACTATTCATCTTGTAGAAACCATTTTCTTTTCCATAACAAGTAGAATTTAAATAGAGTAGAATTTAAGTGTTTCTTATTTAAGGAAATTCGGCATTAAGATTTATTTTTAATTTATGTGTGTGCATGTGAATGCAGACGCCCTCAGAGGAATCGGATCCCCCCGAAGCTGGAGTTACAGGATGAAATACACTAAAGTTAGAAATGGGGTGTATACCAAGGTGAGGTACCATATAAACACACACACACACTTCTCTATGTGCAATTTTCAACTAAATGTATTTACCAATTTAAAATACCTTCTTCCTTTTACTTTTGACAATATAAAAAAAATGCGTCTTAATATGAATTAGCCATTCCATTCAGTCTTATGTGAAAAATTGCTATCACTGATATTATAGGCAACATTTGGCATCACATACATTTAAATATGTTGCATATTACAGTAACTCTAAATAGACTTATTCTTTGTCATATTAGCACTATTATATCATATAGCCACTAGAGAAAGGTAAGCAGAAGCCATCTATTTATGTTGTCACAGATTTCAAAAATAAAATGCAATTGATATTCAAAATACACTCAGTTATTCCCTAGGTAAAACATGAATAGAATCATATATACACAGTATAGGAAGTACAATAAGTGTATACACACTTCAAGTGTCACCAATTCTAAACTAAAAGCTAATATTGTTACTAAAACCAACACCAACTGAGTGTTTGTTGAACAATGTACTGTGCACAGCTTATCGCTTTTAATTATTATAACTGCTCTATGAAAAGTATTATTATGCTGCTCTCTGCTTTATTAAAGTGTCAAGGAGGAAAATGCATCTCTGTCCAAAATGATGCAGTAAGTGGTGGGTACAGAATTCACACAGGACCAGCTCGACATGAGGCCATATGGGAGCACCTGAACCCTTAATCTAATATGACTAGCACACTTATAAGATGATAATCTGGAGACCAAAATGTTATGATTAAATGCAAAACCATTTCTGGGGCTACAGTAAGCTGCAAAAAAGGGAAAGGTTCCCTCTTAGAGACATAGAATTCATCTTAGACTTCTAGCTCTAGAACCAAGAGATGACCCATGTCAGTTGTGTTCAAGTCACAGCACTTGTGTTACTTTTGAATGGGATTCCTAGAAACTAATACACTAGTTATATACAATGAGGCTTTAAGCAAAGTGGTCCAGTTCTATTTTCATATTCAGACATTTAGATTACAGTAGAAATAAGCAATTACCTCAACATTTAAGAGGGCATCCTTGGTCTCCTTGAGCTTGCCTTTTGTCAGGTCCAGTTCACTCTGAAGCCTCTCTTGGGAGTCCTGAAGACTAGCAATGAGTCCTTCGGCAGAGCCAAGACCTTGTTCACTTTTCCTTACCAGATCTTGCAGGCGGCCAATCTGTGAGTGAACAGAGCATTTTTAATGTGCCATACAGTGGCAGACCAGTATCAGCTCACGGTTTGAGAGTTTTGTGTTATTGTTGACTTGACTGAATGGACTCCTTCTTCATGAATTTGGAAGAAGCACTTAGCCATGATAATCTTTACCATTTGCTATTTTTTTGAATACTATTTTTTTTTCCCATGACTACACTTCCCCCTTTCCAGGACCATAATGCAAGGACATGGATACAACTTCCCGTGGGCTCTTGGTGTAAAGAAAATTCCTGGTTATGTCAGATAATAAGATACCTATAAAAAGGAACTGATGCAAGATGAAGATTAAAGATAAAAAATAAACCGTCTGAAAGCTTTCTTTAAAATTAACCATTTCTATATCAAGTCAAGTCACCGTGCTATTTAGAAAGGCAGTGCATTTAGGTCAATACTGGCAAGCTCTTAAATATATCTTAGAGAATCAACTGTTTTTTGTGTTTCCATATAGAAGTCGCCTCGGGAAAGAACCTCTGAGTTGGAACTAGAAGCAAATGATAATTTGTTGACTAGGATTACAGAAACCTTTAATTATAAGGGTCAAAAGCAAAGAAGGAAACACTTTAAGAAAAAATGCTATGAAGTCAAAACTCATCTGAAAAGAACATGGACAAGATTTCTTTTAAAAATACATGCATATTTTGCTGGCAAATATTTTCTTACAACTATACATTTCAAAAAGGAAAATATGAAAACTGTCCTTCAGCGCCCTGGGACACTCCTGTTTAGGCACACAGCCTCCCTGTTCTTTTGGTGCAGGAATCTCTATGTGCGTATGGTAAGTACATCTGGATGTGGTAGTGTGCGATCTTGCGAGCTTGTCAGTGTCTCTAAATGGTCAGCAACTTTGTAAAATGATTTAAGAACTTCCCCCCTTTCCTGTGTTCTCACATATTCATAGCCAAAAAAATTCAAGAATTTAGCAAAACTTCATCCATTAAATTCTCTGAACCTAATGCCTGTCTAGAACCATGGTGGGCTATTTTCTTTTGCGGTTATTACTGGCCTGGTAAGTTGTTTAAGTTCTTTGAGTCATTTTAAAAAATATGTATTGTCATAAAAATATATACTCTTTCCTGATTCTTAAAGGTTAATGACATGTTCATATGTAGCATCTACTTACGGTGGTCTAAAACTTCATTATCTGTCACTGTTTTAACACCCCCATTCTGTATTCTCCATTGCTTACTTGTGTCCTCACAACTTTTGGTGCTGACCCAGCTTGTCCAATGATTGTGCATGCAGTGGTAAGAGGATTGATTGTAAGGAAGATAGTCGTAACAACTGGAAGATGGCTGAGCTCAGCAGAAGTCTAGTCTTAAGTCCCAGCTCTGCCAATATGAAACAGCAGGAATAATCCCCATCTTGTGGGCTGACTGTAATAATCACATTCAAGGATCCAGAGAAAGATATTAACCAGAAAAGATAGAAGGGACAATCCATATGGAAAGAACCGAGCCGGGCATGGTGGGATATGCCTACAATTACAGCATCTGGGAGGTTCAAGGCCAGCCCAGGCTACATAGTGAGGTCAAGCTAGCTTGGGAACTAGGGTAAGATACTGACTTAGAAAACTTTTTTTAAGGAAGCACTGGAGAGATGGCTCAGCAGTTCAAAGCACTTGCTGCTCAAGGATCCAGTTTCAATTCTCAGCACCCTCATGGCAGCTTTCAACTGTCTATAACTCCAGTTCCAAGGGACCTGACACCCTCGTCTGGCTTCCACAGTAACAGGCACACATGTGTGTGGACACAGACATACATGTAGGCAGAACACCCATATATACATAAATTAAATTTTAAAAAATTTGAAAGGAAAATAATAACCAAGTTTAATTATATGGAAATATTCTTCCACAATCTAGCAAGTTTTCAGTTGATGAAGTATTACGTGACTATAACATATTCAAAAATTTATGAAGAGAAGTATTATAAGTAGCACATGAAGAATAAACAGAAATTGTGTTAAAGAAATAAAGAATTTAATTAAAGAGGAAATAAATATTTAAATAAGCAAAAACTTTTAAATTGTGCATAGTTAAATGTAGTAAAATACAAAATTGAAGTAAGCAACCATAGCTGATAGTTTTCTATGAGTATAATAAAAAGGGTTATGTTCTCAGCCCTCATGTTCCTTGAGAACATACAACAACTGGTGTCTGTCTCTGTCAAAATCTCTTTTGGCATGTGGAAGATCTACTCTCCTTCCCCATCAGTGTCCTGTGGTCTCAGCAGGAACTCAGCTTGATCAGACACTAACCCAACACAGTTGTCTCATTCTATATCCACTGGGGATGACTGAGGAGCAGTCATGGGGATGAATACATCATTCACAGAGATCTCAGACGGTTGAAAGGAAAATGGGTCTTCTAGTGATGCTCTTTTGTCAGCCATACCATGCCCAAAGGAACGCATGACTGAAGAATAAAGTCCACATGAAGAACACAAAGAAGGCAAATCCAAGAGGAGACAAAGAAACCCAGTCCCAGGGTAACCAATTTTAGTTCTGAATCTATTCTGTTTGAAGCTGACATTATCCTGGGACCTTTTTATCACTTGGGTCGGTGTATTTCCTTTGTTCTTCTGTGGGTTTGCATTGGAACGTCTGCTCTTTGCAACAAGATGGAACAAGCTAGATTCTTATTATTATGACCCCCTCTAAGGAAATACAGAAGGTAGACATCTCCTCCCTTGAGTCCCTATCTACACACATGTGCTCTTCTCCTACCCCTTCTCTTAGGAAGCACAGAGTGAACTTTTATAAATGATGAATACGGACATGAGTGTAAGCCTTGTCCCTAAAGTAAGCATCACATGTTTGTGCTCAGCATCTTCTAGCAGCCTTCTACTATGCGAATAGTCAAAATATGTCACAGGGCCTCTGTGACATAGAGGCTGCCTAACTCTCCAGCTAGCTTGGCAATCTTTTTTTTTTTTTTTTTGGTCTTTGTATTTGTTGGAAGGGTAAAGTACTGTGGTCCTGATCATTAAATTGAGCTAAAATATTATCACTTGGACTGGAATTTTGATTTTTACCCACTTAGTATGTGGCACAGACAAATTCCATCACTCTTCAGTGACTTAGTAACTAGGATCGACTGCCCTAGCTTGTAAAAAGGCAGAGGAGAGAAGAATAAAAATCAGTGCCTGGGAAACAGGAAGCAACACTATTCTACAGTTTTTGCAGCACCAGATCTACCCTGGCATTCCTACAGTATTTTAAAACGTCCCACGCACCACAGCCTTTGCATAATAGTTCCTCAATTTGTCATCCTGTCCAGCCAATCAATCCCTTATCTTCCTTTCGCAGTATGCATCTAGCTAGACTTATAAATGCCTCATTCTGTGAAACCCCTCATCATTGCGGGACCATGTTAATTGCCACTGTAATCACAGTGTGTAAGAGCTCTTTGTACGTAACCAACCATCCATTATTTACTAAATGAATGAATGAGCCAGTTACTAAAATACTTCATACACACTTACTGACTAAGGAATCAAATAGCTTTAACACCTCAGTATGTAAGCATTTAACCTGTAAAGAAACCAGTACCTCAGCTTCCCTTGACCTTGTACTATTACCAGGCCACTAGTAGGCCATGTGGTTCCTCCATGCAGAAACAGACAATCCCCACAGGCATGCAAACAGCTCCAGAGCATGGAAAGACACAGATGATGTTATGTGAATTAGAAAAAGGATTTCCTTTCTTTTGGGAAATAAGAGTTCTATGGAAATCTAAGCTATTTCTGAATTTCTCCTATAAACAGTACTGACATTTTCTCCATAATCCTTTATTATTTACTTACATGGTAAACACAGAACTGAAGCTCCTGTCAAAGGGCATGTCCATCTGAGGCTCCCACACAAGCTGCTAAGCCCTTTCCAGAAAAAGTACGTGATTTCATATCGCCCTCGGCGGCTTCCGGGTGTTTATCTCTCTTTATACTCAGCAACACTGCATGGCCTCAATTTTTTATCACAGTTCATTTTATGGTCATGCGGTAGCATTTTGCAGATTCCTAGTTCTTAATTTAGTGAGGCTAAAATTATTTTTCTTGTTTCTGTTTAGTTTATACCAACAAAACAGTGGTGCCTGTTTTCCTCACTGTTTTGTAAACACTCTAAAGGTAGACAAGACATGAAATTGTTTGTGCAATTTATCAACCATTTACACTTTCCTTCTTTCTTTTCTCTCTTTTACATATGGAATGTTCTTTCTTAGGCAGAAGTTCTGTCTTTAACTGAGAAAGCAAACAGGTCCCGCTGTGGCTCCCATAGAGGTGCACTAACATTCAGGCCACAGGAGACATGCAAGGCATGTGCTACCATGACGTAGACAGTTGAGGCTGAGTTCCTAACTCTGTTCTCACATCACTGCAATGGGGGCCATCCAGGGTCACTGGTGGATAGGTGCTAAAATTCTGAAGAATTACTCCTTATGGGTTTATACACTTATTTATATTAGAACATACATAATATCACCAGTGTTTCGTTTCTTCCCAGTTAATACAGTTACATGCATAATAACGTGGTTATAATCTGTTTTCACTAATGACTTGTGAATAGTTTTTATGAAAACCTTGGTTAAATGGGAAACGTGGCTATCCTTCATTTTAAGTTCCTAAGCTGACTAGGAACACGCTCCCTGGAGATCTGAGTCAGCAGGACAGGAAAAAGGCTGCTGGTCTGAAGGGATGCCAAAGCAGAGATGGGGCAAGAGCCAAGAGTCACTCGGGAAGCCATAATGACGTGGCACCAGAGCATTGCCAGGATACTGAAACATAATTGAAAATGTAGCCAGGAGAAAAGAACTTTGCACATTCGCTGCAACTCTTCTCAGAGAAGTTCCAGGATATAGGTTGGGAAAACACTAAGACAAGCCATTTAGAATTGAGAGAGGAAGCCTGAGGAGCCTGCCTGAGAAACAGAGGGTCACTAAAGAGCCTTCTAATGCATATAGACTGGTAACTGTGTGGATTCTGATGAGCAAGTGCATTGGTGAAGTCAGTGTGGATTAGCTAGGGCAACAGAAGACAGACTGGGCTACCATCAGCATCTACCATGCGCCTCTATCGTTCTCCAAGGCAGTTTGCTGTATTTTCTCTGGATAGACATTTAAAACCAATCCAAGAACACCGAGTGCAATCTGCAGCCCGCTCAAGGGCACGTGTGTCTTTTGCTGTGGCTTCTGTGGGCACATTTGGAGTAATAGAAAAGTGGCGTGAGCGGGCTGTGGGGAGAGATGAGGTCAGTGAGGAAGAAAAAGTTGGCAAGGCTCTTGAGAAGGGCCAAGACAAGAACCGAGTCAGAGAATTAGAGGGAGCTCACCCAAGAAGCCACAGAGGGATGAACGGGAGAGAAAAAGGCAAATATTAGGGAAGCATTTAGCAATTGCCTCAATGGAGACAGAGGAGGAACTAATGTTGCAATTTACAAAGGTCTTTGCATATATTTACTTACAGTTTTTTTTTCAACTTCTAACATTTTTCTAATATTCTATCCTTAGCCTTTTCTTTCTCGAGCTAAATAATATTTTCATATAAATTTAACAATTTGGTTTGGAAGCCAGTATCTGGACCTTACAAAGTTTTTCTCTCTCTAAAATGAGGTGCGGTGTAGAGAAGACTACACTGCTAACAGTTGCTTCTGGTTGACCTGGTGAGGTCTGTTGCTTTGCAATCCTCCACAAAAACACTGCCATTTAATGTTTTTGATAGTAAATGTTTACCTAATGGGACATAAATACAGTGTTAGGAAAATTCAGCACCGAGTCAAGATCTTTGGCCAGTTCTGCTGACCTACCTACACACTGCCACCAGATCAAGTTACTACAAAGCGAATACATAATGTAGGCGATAGGCCTAAAGAGCTCTTGCCTCCTGATTGGCTGAAGCCAGCTTGTCTTCCAGCACTTGCTTTAGGTTTTCTAGCTCCAGTTGAAGCTGATTTTTATCCTCTTCCAGACTCAGTCTCTCCTTTTTATATTGTTCCTCCAATTCCTTAAGAGAAAAAAAAAAAAAAATTAGTACGACTGAAGAACTATACATACTTTAAGATTTTAAGAAATGCAATCATGTTAATATTTTACTTTTCAAATTATCTCTCCTTATTAAAAAAATCACAGCTAACTGTGATACCATTTAATACTAAACGGAATAGATCAAATCATTCTGATATAGCCATTAGATAATGCTTTTAATCACGGGTGTGTGTCACTGGTCACTTAGAGACATCAGAAAAGCATGATAGAAATGATAATTTGGCATGATAAAGCAAACAGTTTCTTGAGTTTTCCATTATTTTATATTAAAATACAAAAACTCCTATAACATTTTGTGAATTCACTATTCAACCGTGGAATGTAGTTGGGAATTAACCAGAACAAAAATGAAGATAACTGGATTATAAAATCAGTTACAATGATATCTACTAAAGAACTTATCTATTTTCCAGGCATGCTATGTATGACCTGGGCCTCACAAACAACAAGATGTGGTATGAAGGCTGTCTTAATAACCCATAGTACCAAATAAGGAACCACTTACTCATCAAAATTAGACATATAGAGAAGAAGGATCTAGGCAGGGAACTGATAAACTTTGAGAGAGAACTTTAGAAAGAATGCAATTCCTAAGTGTACAAACTGACACCATAACCACTCCACAGTATGGGTTAGGAGAAGGTTTTTATTTTAGCTGTAAGAGAGAGAACAGCCAGGGCATCTGGAAGAGTCCAGGACACAGAGAGAAAGAAGTAGGCTGAACATGGCCAGCTGACTGAGCGTGGCCAGGGCTATCTGAGAGAGTGGGGAGGACAGCAGGGGACAGAGAATAGAGAAAACATAGTAAGAGAAGCAGGAGCAGGCAGAACAGAGAGAGTGAACATTCCTGCAAGAGCAGAATAGCAGGGCTATAAGGAGAATGAGTAGCTGGGAGAAGAGAATCCCACGAGCTGGAGGGAGTTAAGGGTAGGGGAGGAGGTGAGAAGGGCTTGGATGCTAGCTTGGACTCTGAAATGTTTAACAGGTATTTGTGATACTGAAGGAGCCTGGGGGCCAGAATGAGCTTTGATATGCTATAGGCACCACAGGTAGCCATATGTCCCTTCTGCCAGAGGTAAGGGAAATGCTCCTTTTGGAAGAGGGGAATCAGCTTCACAAGTTCTTGAGGAATGCTAGCTTTTCTAGTTTTTGCTAGAAATCCTCCTTGAGTCCAGGCTGAGCTCATTTCTGGATGTACTGCCTTTCAGAGTTTGGGGGATGGAGTTTCCTTTGGACCTGACACTAAGTAGAGTTTGAAGAGCATACCAGTTAAAAATAATGGCAGGGTAGAGGGGAACAGAGCATTCCAGGCAGAGGAAAAGGAATGTCTAAACACACAGAGGCACACACACACACACACACACACACACACACACACACACACAGAGCTTGGTAAGAGCACTCTTTTCTACAGTATAAGGTGAGGAGAGTTGTGGGAAGGTTGTGTTAGGGCCCTCCATGACACACTGAAGTTGGATGATATTCTAGGAGTAGCCACAGGCTTGGATATAAAACTGGCATATAGCTATGGTTTATTATGGTAAAAATATTTAAATCACAATCTACAGAGGCAAAGGTGTGAACGAGGAGTCTACAGACACTGGCTTCCAAGGGCCCTGCACACTGAGCATGCTCCAAGACTACTCTAGCAAGCTGTGACAACAGCATGAAATAAAATGTGCAGGGAGGCTCCTGAGAGACTTGGAGGCCAGGTCTTTTTTCTCTAGGGCACCCTCTTCCAATGTTCCAGGAGGAATGTAGGTGGTCTGCGTTTTCACACTATTGGCACATATAGTTTAAGCAGGCGAGCTTTTCATCTTGGGGGATGATGACACCCTTCTGAAACCCCAGTTCCTATGGGCCAGCCAAAGACTAGCCTGTCTGAGGAGAGAAATCTTGGGTGCTATGTCATCTTTTCTGCACAGGTTGTCCCTGTACTTTGTTAATATGGTGAACTATAGTTACGGTAAGAAATGCAATCCTTTTGCGATAAGTAAGGAACAGAGAGGTCGTCTAAGCTAAATTCTCTTTATTTTTCCACTTTCAGAAACATATTCATTAGTCACTAAGCTCTTTAAGATAATTCTTACCTTTTTTTCTTTCATTGAAAAGAGTGTTTCCCCTCCCTCTACTCCTCCCAGTCCATCCCATCCAGATTCACTCTTTGTCTCTCATTAGAAAAAACAAAACAAACAAACAAACAAAAAAACCCCCCAGACTTCTAAGGAATAATAATAAAACATAATAAGATAAAACAAAAACTAACAGGTCAGAATTGGACAAAACAAACAGAAGGAGAGGAGCCCAGGATATCCGCTGTTGGCACACTCAGAAATCCCATATAAACACTGAACTGGAAGCCATAACATACTGCAGAGGACCTGGTGCAGAAAACCCCACTGCCCTGTGCATGCTGCCTCAGTCCTTGGGAGTTCAGATATGCATTGACCATGCTGATGGAGAGGACATGGTGGTAGTCCACCCCAAACTCCGCATCTTCTATCCCCTCTGGCTCTTACACTTTTTTCTGCATACTCTTCTGAAGAGTTAATTCCCTGAGCCCCAAGGGGAGGGATTTGAGGGAGACATCCCATTTAGGGCTGAGTGTTCCAAGGTTCCTCATTCTCTGCATAATATCCAGCTGTGGGTCTCTGTGTTTGTTCCCAGCTGCTGCAGGGGGAAACTTCTTGGATGATGGCTGAGCCCAGCACTAATCTGTTTCCCCTCAATGTTCTTTAAAAAAATACTTTGACATTAGAGAGAGGCCGTTCTGGAAGGAAGCTGGTTTTGGCTTACACACTTAGTATGTTGACTGGGCAGCAACAAGGGAAGCGGGCAGCAGGGAAGAAACAAGCTATTTGGGTAAGTGGTACAGATAAGGCAGCCCAGAGTGTTCTCCGGCAAATCCCTTCAAATAGAAACCTTCTCTCCAAGAGCCCGTGAGTCTCAGGAGGTAAGCAAAGTGTCACAGGTGTGGTGAAGGGAAAACTTTTGGGATTCTCAAAGGCTCCTCCCCAGCTTCATAAAAGCAGGAAAAAATGGCTGGGGCCAGAGCTCTGGCCAGCCCGAGTCTCTAAGACCTGTGCAGTTGCCTGCTTGTTCCAGCTGCAGCTTGGGGGGGGGGGGGTGCTTTTTGTAGATGCAGCTGCTTCTGAGTCATCCCTGCTCCTTGTAACACCCCATCCATGCTCCTGCTAGGAACCCCAATAATCACGCATCGCTTCCCCAACTTGGATGCTGGTGTAATTGTTACTTTGGTCTGTGACAGGCTCCCTTTCTAGGGTGAGCAGGTGTGCGTACTGCTTCCCCAAGGAAACCTCCAACGCAACACAGAGCTTTTGAAGTGCTCACACACAGGAAAGTCCAAGTCATCTTTCCAATGGCAAACATGTTCTGAAACAGGTTTTAAGAACTGTAAGTGGGGTTAAGCAGTTAAGAGCACTGACTGCTCTTCCAGCGGACCCAAATTTGATTCCCAGAACCTATCCAGTAGCTCACAACCTTCTGTAATTCCAATTCCAGAGGCTCCAAGGTCCTCCTTTGGCTTCAAAGGTCATTGCACACATGTGGTACACAGATACATGTACAGGCAAAATGCTCACACATAAAACAAAAATAAACACATGGGAATTATTTTGTAAATGAACCACACGTGGGCTAAGGCAGGTGTCCACTGCACGCATTAGTGTGGGACCCTGGGCAGGGCACAGCCACCTCCTTAAGCAGGCCCAGGACTACACAGGGATGGGACGCGTGTGCCGGCACAGAGAAAATGGCAATCAGTCTTGAGAAGGAGTGCAATCATTTTTGTCTCTGCCTAGACGGACACATACCAGTTCTGAAAGAAATAACATTCTAACAGAAAATCTTGGGCCGGGCGGTGGTGGCGCACGCCTTTAATCCCAGCACTCGGGAGGCAGAGGCAGGCGGATCTCTGTGAGTTCGAGGCCAGCCTGGGCTACCAAGTGAGTTCCAGGAAAGGGCACAAAGCTACACAGAGAAACCCTGTCTCGAAAAACCAAAAAAAAAAAAAGAAAATCTTACTTAAATTTTTAATTTTTACAGCTTAAAGTATTTCTTCCAGTATTTATGCCACAAAATGAAGGGGTATTAAGGCAGAAAAAAAAATCTAAATTTGCATTTTATCTATTCTACTTAATCAGGTCCATGGTTTTGCAAAAATCATTTAGGCTTATTAAATATAGTGTATACTTTCTAATAAAAATGGCACTAATCTCCAAGTCATGAGTATCAAGGAATATGCCACAGAAAAATGACTTGCAAACTATAAGGGGTTACTATATAAAACATTAGCGCCCTTATGAAGAAACACCTGCGTGAGGGTATTTAAATGCCACACGATTTGACAGACCTGAGAGCCAACCAATTCTTACAAATTGCATGTGACTGAATACATCCCCTCATCAGTAAGCAGGGGGCAGCAACCAATCAGCTGTCAGAAGGGTAAATCAGAAAAACGTGTGAAGCCTAACTGCAGAATTCGGGACATGATACCAAACACCCGCAACGTTATTGATCCTCACAGCCAGGACATGGCTGAGTACTCAACAGCTGTTCTCCTGTGAGCCTTACAGGAACGTGATAGGACCTATCACACCCTCCTGTGTCACAGAAGGTGCCAGAGGCGCAGGTTAGGGTCCATGCCACCACAGTTGACAAGCAAAGAGCTAAGTGTAAAGGCCCAGGGGTGGCAGACAACTTGCATTCCCTACTGTGCACTATGGGCTGCCATGCAGTACCATTCACAAGGTGATGACTTAGGAAAGGAAGGAAAAGAAAAACACAAATACATGAATAATGTTCCCAGGGAAGGAAGGAAGCTATCTACTAGAAATATGTACAGTGGTGAATTAAGGCTTCCTGCTTGGTACAGTTATCGCATGCTGAAAAAGCCCCAGATCAAAGAGTGTTTCTGTTATGGCTTATATAAAGTACTCTGCCCTAAAATAAACCATGCGCCCACCAAGAACTTAATGTGAGCCAGGTATGGTGGTGCACGCACTTGGGAAGAGGCGACAGGAGAATGACAAGGAGACCAGGCTGAGTTACACAGTGAGGCCGTGTCTCAAGAAGAGGACAGGGAAGAACTTTTACTTTTATGGATGTTACCACCGGAACCAGGATTTAAAGCATGATGACAAGACAGGAGCCGTGAAATTCAAGCAATTGTTCGCCCACAGTACAGGTCATGTTGGACCATCACCAAACCCTCACCAGTTCCACTGCAGCGGTGAACGAAGTTTCCACTCACCATTTGTAGCTTTTTCTTATCTCTGCTTGCATTGCTGTGGACAGCCTCCATCGCCATGTGGTGCTTCCAGGCTAACTCTTCTAAAGTCTTAGAATGGGCCTCATTTAATTGGGCCACCTCGCCGTCCAATCTATTCTGCAGGTTTTTAAGCTCCATTTCATAATATTCTTGCTGAGTTCTCTTTGCTTCGGTTACTTTCTTGAATGAAAACAAAAGGAGATTAAGAAGCGGCACTCCTGTTTTGCTTAGCGCTATCAATGTCTGAGCATCTTAGACATATGTGGACTGGCACGAACGAACTGCTTTGGGATCGAGGCTTTGAAACCTTACAACTGGTGCTGTTGGGAGTGACAAGGTGCCCGAGGCAGAACAAAGTATTTTAAATCTAGAAATAAAAGAAACTGTCGCTGTCTTAGAACCAAATGTGTGTTTGTATAATGGCAAACTTACAAGATAAAGATGTTTGTGCAGTACACAAAATAACTTACCTATTCACTACTCAAGTAATACTATTCAATACAATTGGTGTGTCAATTATGTGCCTTTTAACCAATCACAACTCAGTGATGAAAGGAAGTAAAAGGCAGTGGCGACAGTTTTATGAGTTCTGCGAAAGAGTGTCTATTGTATGTGGCTAGAATACAGGAAAGAGGTACAACCTGGGTGGGGAAAAAAGTAAGTGTGTGTGTGTGTGTGTGTGTGTGTGTGTGTGTGTGTGTGTGTGTGAGAGAGAGAGAGAGAGAGAGAGAGAGAGAGAGAGAGAGAGAGAGAGAGAGATAGGGAGATAGAGACAGAGACAGAGAGAGACAAAGACAGACAGATACACACACACACACACACAGAGAGAGAGAGAGAGAGAGAGAGAGAGAGAGAGAGAGAGAGAGAGAGAGAGAGAATATGAGAATATGAATCAATTCAATTTGGGAAGAGAAAATATAGAGCTAGTAATGACATGTTCTCTCATTTGATTTACACAAGCCCAGAAGGCATCCAAAGACGTCTGTCTCATCCACATCTCTCATCAAAAGCATGGATTCGGCCGGGCGGTGGTGGCGCACGCCTTTAATCCCAGCACTCGGGAGGCAGAGCCAGGCGGATCTCTGTGAGTTCGAGGCCAGCCTGGGCTACCAAGTGAGTTCCAGGAAAGGCGCAAAGCTACACAGAGAAACCCTGTCTCGAAAAACCAAAAAAAAAAAAAAAAAAAAAAAAAGCATGGATTCATAACCATTTCCATTGCCTTTCAGAACTCTGAAAGATGAAGAAGTAGTTAACCAGGAGGCAAAGATGGAGGGGGACAGAAGGCCTAATGTATCTAAGGCACACAAGTTACCACAGGCTACACAAGCCTGGGAATACTGAGGGAAGAGGGATGGGGCTCAGAAACAGGCCGGAGTCAAACAATGAAAAGGAGTCTTCATACTAAAAATTTGGATTTTTATCCTGGAGGGAATGAGAAATGTCACGTGCATGTGCGCGTGCGCGCGCGCGCGCGCGCGCACACACACACACACACACACACACACACACACACACACACACACTTACTTTAGATAGTCATCTTTGCAATAGGCTACAGAGAGCAGCTCGAAGGTTGTCACTACCATCCCCACAAGCAATGACACCTACTTAATCTTCTGGTCTGTGGATGGGTATGAAGAGAGGGGGATGGATAGAATGAAAAAGTGTATGAAGGGAGTAGACCCAACAGGTCTTAGCAACAGATAAGGAGATTGGAAAAAAGAAATCAAGAATAACTCCTTCGACTAGGTCAAGTAAGGAACACAATAAACAGGGTTTTAAGGGGAGAAAAATCCTGTGAATATTGCAATGGCATTTTATCAAAACCACAAATAGAGACACTGAGTAGAGAGTTAAATACGTAAGACTCAGAGACACTGAGCTGAGAGTTAATATATAAGACTCAGGGGAAAAGATCCAGCTGTTAATGACAGATTTTGCAACAATCAGGAAACAAATGGCACTTGAAGTTACTAGAAGAGATGAGCATGTGGAATAAAAGAGAACCCTGGGCAGATGCTGCCAGGAAGGTCACGACTGTAGCTCGCAGGGCTCACAGCTGGGTAACAGTAGTGGGCACATTTCTCCCCTGGTGGCAAGCAGAGCACTTTTTGGCACTATGAAAGCTAGCCAGCAGGGATGAAGCCTCCTGGTGAGGACCAGCTTGATTTCTGCATGTCCTATGACTCAAGCTTGGGGTGTCTTCAGCAGCAGGGTCTTACCATTACGTTTGGGGGCATAACTAAGAACAATAGTGATGATGGCAGGAATGTTTTAAGAGTAACCTTTTGCTTTCTGATTGGATTTAAGACCCATTCTACAAGACAGAACTCATGTCTGGGCCAAGAACCGGTGGCTGGGCCCTAGTGGAAAACCTACTCCTATTATTCTGTTAACTAATATTAAGCTGTCTCCCACATATTATACCTGTAGGCCACTGCGGCTCTCAATTCTCAGCAGAGAAGCTGCTTTTTGCAGTAGACGGGGATTACTATAGACAGTCACCTCACAACGTGCAGAGAGTAAGAGGCTGGGGAGTGCTCAGCCCTAAATGGGACATCGATGCCACAATCCCTAACCCCAAGGCTCAGAAATCATCTCAGAGGAAGAGTCAGGAAGATCAGCCACGGGTAGCGGAGGACTCCTTTGGAAGTGTTTTCTGGCCACTACAGGACCACTGCAAACATGCCCTTACAGGGTTACGGCGGATGCACAAGGCCTACGCCAGACCAAGCCAGCCAAAGTCCCAGCATGAATGGGGAAGGGGCTCACACACTCCCACCTCCGGATAGGAGCTACAGGCAATTGATGGCTGATAGGGAAGACGAGACAGTTTTCTTGGGATGCAGTTCTTAACAGGCTGCCCATGATCCAGTGGATGGTCCTGCACCCATACACAAACTTAATGGAAGCATTACATGGACTCGGTGGGTTTAGAAAGAGCTCATGAATTTGAGAGGAAAAAGTGGTAGAGGTGTGGGAAGAGTTGAGAGGGGAGAGATTCGATCAGAACACATTACAACACAATCACGTGTGAAATGCTCAAACAATAGTTGTTTGTACTGCTAGGAAAATCAAAGGAAATGGAATGGGTAGAGCTGGAAAATTTACAAGTAAGACTTGAAGGCTAAAGAGGTAGAAGAGAAATGAGAGAACGTGAAATACCATGGTTAACTGTGTGTGTGGGGTACAAACAGTGCGATGTAAGATTCACCAATGTAGTGATAACTACAGACGGGGAAAATGAGGCGAACCCAGATCCTATGGCATGGTGGGAAGAGAAGGTAGCATCAGGTCGAGGAGTGAACTGGAGTGAGTACAGGGCAACACCAGATACTTCTAAATATATTTAAATAGTGAGAGGAGAAGGGAGAACATAGCCCAGACCCACGCTTGTTTTGTGGGAGAAATAATAAATGCCTTTCTACGAAGCGGTCCAATAAATGGGCAGCAACTGTGGTCTAGAGGACACATGAGTGTTTCACCTAGAAAGTCACGATGCTGCTCTACGAATTTTCACAACTTGGTATCTGTCATCTTCTTTTTACTTCTGTAAAACCCTCCTAGGAGTCAGGCATCATGTTATAGGCCTGTAGTCTTAGCTCCTGGGGAGGCTGCCATGGAGGATCAGATGTTCAGGGCGAGGGTTAGCTGAGACTTACAGAGACCCTGTTTCAAAATAAAAAGTGAAAGAGCCTGGGACTAGAGTTCACATGCACAGCATGTCCCTAACACATGTAAGGCCTGGGGTTCATTCCCAGTTCAAAAAACAAAACCCAGACCAGAAAGAGAGGAAGGAGGCGGGGGCGGGGGAAGGGAGAGAAAGAAAAGACAAAGAAGCTTCCTGGGAGTATCTGTGATAACATACTTCATTTGTTAAAAAAAAAAAAAAAAAAGTATGTTTAGGGGGCTGGAGAGACGGCTTAGCAGTTCAGAGCACTGGCTGCTCTTACAGAGGTCCTGAGTTCAATCCCCAGCAACCACATGGTGGCTCACAACCATCTATATTGAGATCTGGTGCCCTCTTCTGGTGTGCAGGCCCACATGCAGACAGAACACTGTATATATAATAAATAAATAAAAATCTTTCTTAAAAAAGTATGTTTAATATGATAGTTAATAAAATACAAATCCCAATGCAATAAGAGTTAATTCAACTTCTGGCTTAAAATAAACTGAAATTCTTAGACTTTTAGATGACAGATTATTACCCAAATATTTGGAATGGATACATAAAATCGCATAGCCTCCCTTCAGACCTCCTCCCTCAAAACAAACCAGCACAAAGCAGACAAGAACCGTATGGCTCCTGTGCAGTATGAGTCAGGATTTGAACTTCCCTTCCCGTCCTCCAGGTACCCATCACCATACCTTCTCCAGCTCTAGCACCTGCAGCTTCTGTTCTTCATCCAGACTCTGCGTTCTACTTTGCAGAAAAGCTCTTTCCTCTTCAAGCTGACATAATCGCTCGTTGGCTCGGGATTTTTCCGATTCTAAATCTTTAATTGCAACTTCCTGGGTCATCTGAGTTGCTCGAAGCATTCCAATATGACCTAGAAACCGTCCCCCACAAAGAAAATCTCCTTAATTTTTAAGTGCGTTGACATGAAAGTGTCTCCAGTGACATAAACTGGACTTCATGCCCGAGTGGCCACACGGCTCTCTTTGGCTTCCTCGCTGTACAAAGGGAAATGTTCACCATGGGACTGCCTTAGTCAATTATAATCCTTTAAAATAGAAAGTCTATTTTCACACCTAATGTTGCTTCCTTGTATCATTTCATCTTTTAAAAAAAGGAGAAGAATGCAAGCTGACCAAGGAGAAGTAGGAGAAACTCCTCCCTAGCTGATGAGAGTCTCTTGGGAGTAACTCAGGAAAGAGAGGATGCACCGAGTGATACTATGGTACGAAAATGAGCCGTTTATTCTTTTCTGTTCTCTCTTTCGCTCCCATCCCTCTCAGTCTCTGTCTCTCTCTGTCTCTGTCTCTGTCTCTCTCTCTCTCTCTGTATTCTGGGAACAACTGCTGTAGACAGCAGTGGAGTTTCAATTGAATTTGTTTTATATAAAGACTAGATCGAAAACCAGAGGACAACACATTTATGAAAAAATAAAATAAATGATAATCAAACTGGGTGAGGGGTGGTGGATGGGATGAATAGGATCAAGACACATTGTTTACATATGATGAAGACATACTGTTTACATGTTTGAAACTGTGGAAGAATAAATAGAAGATACTCTATTTAAAAATGGGTGAGGGGAAGGCACAGGTAAAGGGAGAGATGTGAAATCTAGTGTGGAACAGGTTCTCCTGGAAAGTATCACTGAAGCAGAGATTTTTCAAAAAATCCTGGACAAACAGCCAGAAAGAGCCTACTGTAGCCTAGGCAGTGGGAAAGCATAGGCCTAGCATCTGTGGGCTCACAAACTGCCTGCATGATTCTTCTGATGCATGCTGCATGCAGGTCATTAAAAATGACTACTTTATGGGCAAGAAAAGTCACCATGAGCCAATCAGAATGAAAGGGGTTCCTGAAACGGGTTCACTGGATACACTATCCACTTAGACAAAAAGCACCTTCAGACGACCTGGACCAGCATCTTCCTACAAAGGGCTATGAAATGAAGAACGCTGGCCACACCGGATGGCTGACTCAGCTGTCCTGTGTGAACCCACCTTTGTTCCCTACATACAAATTCTTCCAGAGTCAGACAGACAGACAGACAGATGGAAGGAGAGAGGGAGGATAGTAAAGAATAATGGCTCATTTTTGTGGAGCGTATTCTATAAAAATATACTCCTAAAACCAAACAATATGGGGCCTGCTGAGGCAGGATAGAAAGACAGGGGACAAGATGGGGACATGGGAAGGGAAAGGAGCCACTAGGTTCAAAGCTCAGGTGAGGTCTCTCACCAAGTGAAGCTTAAGCATCCCAGTGCAATCAACGTGTGCTGTGAAAACTGCTCCCAGGGAGACAACGCTTCTTTTACATAAAGATGTTCCCAAATAAGAAAGTAAAAACAGCAAGAAACTTTGCTTAAGGCTTGAGCACACATAACTTTGAATCTGGTCTTCTGCCTTCCCCAAATATTTTCTGAGAATCTCATAGACTAGGCTATTTACTTTTATTGACAATAAATGCTTCATGTGATCTGAGGACATTACCTTGACTAAAATCCTAGCTTAGAAGAGTCCAGGAACCCCCTTTCAACCTCAGATTCCTTGACAGCTCCAAAGCTGACAACTGGAAACGCACCAGCATCATAAACATGGCTACTGGAAAGACAGCAAGGTGAAGCCCACACCCACGTGTGGGTGTGTCTTATGTGTTCAGTGATCACCTCTTTTCTGTTGACCCTGTGTTTAAATCCATGTTAAAAATCTCTTCAGGCAAACAACTCTGCTTCAAACTGGCTCATCCTGAGCATCCTTTCTGCAGTGAGGTCAAAGACCAGACTTAACCTCAGTGGAGTCCTAAAAGGAACCCTTGCAGGCTGCTGTGGGGAGGGGGGGTGGGCAGGTAGGGGCTGTGCCCCCCACAACTGTTGACAATGCCATCATTTCACTGTTATAATTACTCAAGAAGATATTAGAGACTTAAAAAAAACAGTCCGAATAATTTCAAAATGTTAGAAGGAATGGTAAATATGAAGTCAGAAGAACTTTTAAAACACTCAGACACTGTTTTGAATGGACAGCAAAGTGCCGGTTTTCGCTGAGCACCGCACCAAGCTATGTGTGGACATACTAGCTTTGAGGACAAGGTCTGAAGCTTGCTGCTGTAAGCGTTCCCGGGCAGCTGCTAGCTCACTCTCCACTTCCTTGTGCTTGCTTAACAAGGCCATCTCTCCCTCCTTGGCATCATCGAGCTGTTTCTGAAGAACCTGAGAAAGATCAAATAGCCATAATCAAAATGCGAACCTGACACTAAGCTAAATGATTTATTTAAATTACAAGCAACACCTTTCTCTTCCTGGAAAGTTCTGGGTAACTAGGACGACTTAGTTTTAAATCTGTTAGATGAGGTAACACAACATGACATTTTAATGGGTCATATGACCCAATTAGGGAAGTCTATTTCCACCCTGCTTAATGAATCCTAAAGCTCTGCAGATCCTCACACAGCCAGGAAGATTTCTGTGTCATCACAACAAGACTTGTGGAGGCTTTTGGCATCTTTTCTGCATGTGGGCTATCTCTTATTAAATTCTACTTTTTGTTTGGTTGTTTGGTTTTTTGAGACAGGGTTTCTCTGTGTAACAGCCCTGGCTATCCTCAAACTCACTTTGTAGAGCAGGCTGGCCTCAAACTCAGAGATCTGCCTGGCTCTGCCTCCTGAGTGCTCGGGCTAAAGGTGTCACCACCAAAAGCGATAATTTTGTGTTCAGTGTCTAAATACCAAATATAGAGGCAGATCATCCTTACTGAAGAGAAAAAGAAAAGCACAATTAACCCCTAAGCTCAATATTTTAACTCTGATGGAAACACTAGTAAGCTGTTTAAATGAAACTTATTCATAGTATCAATAAGATTTTAAACTTATCTTTTGGGGGCTTGATGTCTAAACCCCTAACATAATGGGTAAAGGGAATAAAAATTACCCTTTCCACTTCTTTTCCTCACAAAGGCAAAGACAAAAATGAGGTGGGGCGGGACTAGAAAGTGGTATGAATATAAACAGCTGATTCTAAAGCCAGCCAGGTCCAGGTCGCTCTCCAAATCAACAAAGTAATGCAGATGAGAAAGTGGGGAAAAGCTGAGCAATGGCTTAGCAGTTGAGAGCACTTGCTGCTCTTGCAGAGAACTTGAGTTCAGTTCCCAAGTATCCACATGGTGGCTCATAACCACCCATTAACAGATACATGCAGGTAAAATACTCATACACATAAAATAAAATAAATAAATCAAAAATAAAGTTTTTTTTTAAAGTGTGTGTGTGTAGATTGCTCAGTGGGTAAACTGTCTATGATCCAAATGTTCAGACAGGGTTCAGATTCCCTAGAACCCAGCTAGAGCCAGGTGAGCATGGTGGACGCTTGCAATGCCGGAGCCAGGGAGACACAGAGGCCGGGACACCCTGGAGCAAGCTGGCTAGCCTGAATATCTGAAAGGGCAAATGGAGTCCTCTGGTTTTAGCAAAAGACTCTGCCTCAACACAGAAGGTGGAGAGCAATCTGAGAAAACACCCCATGTCAACCTCAGATTTACACACACACACACACACACACACACACACACACACACACACGCACGCACGCACGCGCACACACACATACACACATCAAACACATGTAAAGAAAGAAAAGACTAAACGACCCATGCCCACTCACCTGTACATTGCTCTCTGCTGTGGCCAGTGCCACCTGCAGCTTTTGGCATTTGTCAAGAAGACTGCTGGCTTCATCCTGCACCATCTGCAACTCGGTCTTCAGTTTTCCTATGGTTTTTCGCAGAATGGCTTCTTGTCCCTGGAACTCTTTGCGGAGATCGGCCTCCTTGTCCCTGCTAGCCTGCAGGCTTTCCGCTGTGAAGAGCTGGGACCTTTTCAGATTATCAAGCTCACGCTCATAAAATAACTGAGCTTTGTTCAACTTGCCTTCATATTCCTCAATGAGTTTTTTCTTTTCAAGTCTCAGCTCTTCCAGGGTACTGTTCAAGGCCTCCACCTCCATCCTGTGCATCTCCTCTGCTTTCTCCTGCCCCTTATTCACCGAGAAACTGTGGTCCTGCTGCGACTTCAACAGCTCTTGGACTTCCCGTCTGTGGGCGGTTCTCAAATCTTCCAGGGCCAACCGTTTGTCCTTTTCAAACTGTACCTGGAGCTGTCCAAAGCTCCTCAACCTTTCTTCAAACTTCCTTCTGATCTCTTCGACCTCCCGCGACATGGTCACTATGCGCTGGACATGCTGGGCCTCTGCACAAAGTTGCATGTCCTCAACTCTGTGCTTATAGGCTTCAAACTCCGTCAGCGCCTGCTGCTTCATCTTCTCATGATCTTCCAAAGAGGCTTCCAAAACTTGAATCTTTCTCTTAAGGTCTAACTCTTCTGTTACCTTGCTTTTGTAGAGCAGTATTTTTTCTCTTGTTTCTGCAAGAATCTGCTGGATTTCTTCTTCATGAGCATCTTTGAGGGCCTGAATTGCAGACTCGTGTTCATCGTTTTTAGTATTCAAAGCATATATTACCTACACGGTTTGGAAGAAGGGAGGAGAATTCAGCACATACTCTTTTACATCTTAAAGTTAATTCTTGCACCCGGATCGGTCTTTTTTCTATGCCCATATTATTTCTGGAGAATATTAAATACTGAAACATCATGCAATTGTTTTTGTGCTCACTGGTCGATTTGCTTTGAAAATTCTTATCCTTGCACAGACTTTTAAATTGTTATTTTTAAACATACAAGATCGCTCATTTATAAAAGTGCACAATTACGATCCCGACACTCAGGGACAGAAAGTCACTACACACAGTGAGTTCCAGGCTGCCTTGGAATACATAAACTGTCTTTCTGTCTCTCTGTCTCTGATTCTGTCTCTCTTCCCATTTCTTTCTCAGAAAAGCATTCAACATTAAGAATGATGTCCTAGAAATGAAAGGAAGAAAGGAACAACAGAGGCCGTTTGCAGAGATGGTAGTTCTCTGCACACCCAGGCCAGCAGACCCACCTTGCATCATGGCCTTGTGTCACATTCCCGTGAATGGAGCTCTACATATTGGGGTACCCCAGAGCTCTCTGTATGTGTTCAAGAGTCTATTTAAATATCTAAATGTACAAATTCCCTTTTCTAGCTCCCTTATAACTTGCTTTCATTAAAGGTTTAGAACTATTTTATTGACAATGAACAGATCTGCAATGTTCTACACTAGTGACTAAATGTAAATTTAGACCTGGCTTGAGCTGGGCCTCTGCAGTCCACAGGGCACTAGTGAGCAGCAGCACCCCCCGTTAAGGTTCTCAGAGGGAGCTCCAGAACCACAGGGTCAAAGAATCTGGGGTCAATCCCCTTCCCCCTGATCAGCACTATGTTTCAGAGCTCCCAGAGGCATCTGTAGTGGACATGATCAGCACTATGTTTCAGGGTTCCCAGAGGCATCTGTAGTGGATATGATCACCACGTGGGACTGAATTCTCAGTCTTTGAGATCTAATGTCACCTCCAGGTGGACAGTGTCCCAATTCAACTGACACTGGAGAAATCCACATATATTGTGGTGACCCGAGATGACCATAGCAAACCACATGGAGTGTGAGAAGAGGAAAGCTTTATCCCATAGCAAACAGCCATTAAGATGAATGACCAGGCTGGGCATGGTAGCATACGCCAGTCATCCTGATGGTCAAAAGGCTAAGGCTGAGAGATGGCCATGACCTTAAGGCCAGACTGGACTACACAGTGAGTACCAGACCAGCCAGGGATACATAGAAATACTGTCTACAAATAAAGAGGAAAGAGAAAAGGAACAGGACAGGAAAAAAAGGAAAGAAAAGAGAATCTCACTGGTCAGGATGCCTAGAGCAAAATAGACTATGGGCTTCAAGTCTTCCTAGGGAAGTTCTGCTCTGAGCCCCATTTTATCTTACTAAGGACATGGAAGAAAATGTGTTGGAGTCCACAGAGGTTTCCTAGTGAGATCTGAGCTTGCTTTACAAAGCAGGGCTGCATTAGGGAATGGCTTGATCATGTGCATGGTCACTAGGTGTTTGGAATGTTCTGCACTTGGCTGTGCTGGGGGGAGGTCTTTTGCTCCACCCCTGGGCATTCCTTTAAAAGTCCTTTAGTAGAGACAGAAGGGGCTGGTGGGTTTTGATGCAGGCCCTCCCCAGCTATTGCATGTTTTTTTCTCTCTCCTCTATATTTCTATCTAAATCTCTTATCCCTCACTCCTCAAGAGTCCCTGGGGTAAAAAAATGTGGGAGCTGGTCCCCCACAAAAGTGGAAATGAAATGGACTTCCAAGAACCAAGTCACACCTTTAGTACTTTGTTCCAAGAGATGATCTTAAAAAGGTCCAGCCCCTTTCAGGGAGTCACTATTTCAGGAATGAAACAGGAGAGGGATGCAATATGTGAGTGTCCCCTCTTAGACGATTTATTGAAATACTCTTCTTTCTAACAATTTCCATTCAGCCTTTGGTGAGTGACATCAAGCCCCAGATCCTTTAACACCCCTTTCTCGAACACCACTGATGAAAGGCTATGCTCTGAACATCCAGCACACCCATCATTTACTATCATCATTTCCTGAAACTCGTGTTTGGTTAAGTAGAGGAGTCTCGATAACAAGGCAGGAAAGATATAGGAGAATGTCAGCCTGGAGAAGAAGCTACAGAAAGAAAAGCAGTGCAGCATTTGAAACCGTAAGTAGGGGAAATTAGACAGGAGCTTGGAATTAAAACAGTGAATTACAAAGAACAGGATTTAAGTCATCAAAATACATGAAAACAACAGAAAAACATTACAGTAGTAAGCATCATCTCAGTTTAAACTCTAATCCTAAGGTCAGCAAGGAATAACTGAAGGCCAAATATGGCCGCTGCTCGCCACTGTAAATACCTGGGTACAGCACAACTGTGTCCATTTGTTCAAGTGCTGTGATCCCACCACGACAGGAGGGCTGAGAAGGAGTGGAAAAGCCCATTATGACCTCCCAGTCTAATCTATACACGGGCAAGGCATCTTAGTCAAAATCAGCAACAAAAAAGAGAAAGGTCTGAGGTTGTGCTACCTTTTTTAATCTTCCATATGCCTTTCCACTAAAACTCATATAGTGAGAAATCAATTGTCTAATCTGAAGGTACACTGCATAAAGAAGTACACACTCATATGGAGCATATCAGTATCTTCCAGAGGAAATATTAAAATATATTTCTAAAAACTTAAAAAGAACAATAAAAGGATGCCAAGTGCAACAAATCAGTACTACTCCAATAAATTACCACTTGAGACATGCCATTATTAAGTTACGGTCTTTAAAAATTATTTTTACGTTTATTTATTTTAGTATGGGGGAAGGCACATGCCATGGTACACATGTCGAAGTCAGAGGGCAACTCTGGAGAATTGGTTCTCTGCTTCCACCTTCTAGGACCCAGGGATCAAACTCAGGTAATCAGGTTCACTAGCAAGTGCCCCTATCCACTGACCAACCAGCCATAGTTATAGTCATTTTAAAATAAGAATCTTATATATGAAGATTCAAGTGGAGAGGGGTGAGGAGACAGGTGGATTCCTGAAACTGATTGGCTAGCCATGAGCTCTAGGCTCAGTGAAAGACCTGCCATTAAGGAGAGACACCAGCTTCAACTTTGAGCCTCCACATACATGCACCCACGTGTAAAAGCATCTGAACATATAGCTGTACATATTTCCATTGATGAATACACATACACACAAATAAGTTTACAAGTCCAAGTAAAAACAAGTCATTTCTTGAATAGCTGTTTTCTAATGCTGGCTGTTATGGGATTAATTCTATTTTTTCCAAATCTGTATTTTGAAACCCTACCCCTGGACATGATGGCATTTGGGAGGCAATTAGGTTTCAATGGGTCACAAGGGTAGGGCCTCATCTGTACTTAGTCCTTCCACCTCTACCACACGAGGACCACCACATGTAAGCCAGAAAGAGAGGCCTCACAGGACTGATCTACCCGGCATCCTGGGCGTGGAACTCCCAGCCTCCAAACTGAGAAATAAAGTGTATTGTTGCATGCATGCGAGCATGCAGGTGTACATTCAGATACATGCATGCAAAGGCCTGAGGTGAACATTGGGTATCTGCCACTACTGCTCTCTATCTTATTGTCTTGAGACAATGCTTCTCATTGAACTGGAGCTTGTCATTTTGGCTAGGCTGCCCTATGATCCCCACTGTCCACTGCTCCAGTACTGTAGCTATAGGCGTATGTGGCCATGCCTGGCTCTTGACATGTGTGCTGGGGAATCAAACGCAAGTCCTCAGGCTTTCCCAGAGAGCATTCTTAACCTACTGAGCCATTATTCCAGCCACATACTGTAGAGCAGTTTCCTCGGAGACTGAAACATTCCATCCTCAGGGAAGCTCATTAAGAAAGGAAATAAACCAGCACTCAGGAGGCAGAGGCAGGCGGATCTCTGTGAATTCGAGGCCAGCCTGGTCTCCAAAGCGAGTTCCAGGAAAGGCGCAAAGCTACACAGAGAAACCCTGTCTCGAAAAACCAAAAAAAAAAAAAAAAAAGAAAGGAAATAAACAACTCAAAATGAAGGCTCCAGGAATATAGAAACATAAAACTGTAAACCTAAGAAATGAAAGCTGACAGTCATCAGCTCTAAAGGTTAACTTTTAACCCCCCTTGCCCCTTATAGCTAACAACTGCCTGGACCAAAGTTAACTTTTAAAGATGTTTCTATGTGCCGGGCGGTGGTCGAGCACGCCTTTAATCCCAGCACTTGGGAGGCAGAGGCAGGCGGATCTTTGTGAGTTCAAGGCCAGCCTGGTTTACAGAGAGAGTTCCAGGACAGGCTCCAAAGCTGCACAGAGAAACCCTGTCTCAGAAAAAAAAAAAAAAAAAAAAAAAAAAGATGTTTCTACGTGACTTCTAGCATGCATCCCTTGCCTGATGCTTCCCCCTTATTATAAAAAGGGGGCCAGAACCCGTCTCCAGGCCACAGTCTCAGAATCCTAAACACTGGCTGTGGTCTCAGCTAGCTGATAAGCTTTTGTGCCCTGTGGTGATATTTTCTTCCTCCTCGTCCTCCTCACCCTCCTCTTCTTTTTCTTTTTTTTTTTTTTCTGGAATAAAGTTTGTTTCTGGTTTAATTGACTTTGGTGGTCTGACCCCCATTATTGCGTGACCCCAGACCCAATGAAAATAGCTTCAGGAAGTCCCCGAAACTGGCCAGCTTTACAAGATCCCTCCTTTCCAACTCTCAAGACAAGCCTGAAAGAAGCAGAAACCAGCCAAACACAGTCGGTCTCAGTCTCAGGCTCTCCACCTTCCCTTCCCAACCCCATCGCCTGCAGATCAGGATACAGAGCTCTGAGCTACTTCTCCAGCACCGTGCCTGCCTGCTGCAACACTCTCCATTGTGATGATAATGGACTAACCCCATAAAACTGTAAGCAAGCCCTCAGCCAAATGCTTTCTTTTGTAAGAGTTGCCTCAGCCATGGTGTCTCTTCAAGGCAACAGAACAGTAACTAAG